GATAGCTGAATCGAATATGGCTTTCTGAGCCTCGACGCAAGTGACGTCACTCGCCTCAAAGCGCCACCACGCGGGAGTATCATAAACTAAATTCACACCTGCATAAAATCGGCTTTAAAAACTAAATAAACGTAAGAACTTTTTTTCATTACTCAAAATTGACTTTTGGGCACCTAATGGATAGTTTTAACCCGTTTTTTCATCACAGTATACCTTTAAGCGATAGGTAACGTGCCCCATTTCACACCTGTTAACACTTTTTGCTACGTCAAGAACTGCACTTACAATTATACATTAAAGGCGTACATTTTGATAACCCCTGCCCAGAGTAAATATGGGAATTGTTTGACCTTGACCAGACTACACACTTCTAATAAACGGTTCCAGACTATAGTATACACAGGGGTGTAAATGAACCCAGACTAGAATTCATGTATACGTAACGTCTTTGGTCAAATTCTACTCTCTCTTGATCTCTCTTGATATATTATCATATTGGCCTGTAAATATATTTTGTGCACGTTTCGGATATATTGTGCTAAACCGCCGTTACAGCTGGGACTGTATTCGTTTACATGATACTTCAGCAAGCAACCGTATCTAAAGTGGTAGGCAGTCTTAAACGTTACACAGAACATAGGTCAATGCTTATCAGCAAAATCGTCAGCTACCATACACTAAACGAGATATCTGTTGAAATGCATGAAGGTTATCGAGACATGGAAAATGTTTTTAGCAAAGCGGTCCTGAGCAGGGGGTTCGCGATGGATGCAACCGGCCAACAATATGGTCCCATTGCAGGAGGGGGGGGGGGGTGGCGGGGTAGTGATCACAATTCGATGGGAATGAAATCATCTGTTCAATAATCAATCAAGTTAATTAAATTTGAACATCACAATTCATATCCAATTAGCAAAAACCAATTTCACCAAGATCAACATGACATTTATTTGATACGTGTACATGCAGAAATGCACCGGAGGGGAGATGGGACTACACAATTTATTAGGGCTGATACTTAAATAAATACTGTCACTTACACAGGACATATTCGCCATAGCTTCCACTCAAAATAAAAAAAACGAAGGTGCCCAACAATATTTCTTTATTCATATGTACAAATATCTCCACCACCAACATGGAGTCCCCTTTATCCTCTCAAAAAACTCCCACCCCAGAGGGACGACACAATCCTCTATCACCTCTACCGCAATCAGGATAGCCCCAATTATATTACTTTACAAACACAATGTTTGTCAACTTTTAATTATAGAGGTTTAACTCCCAAGACGTAAACACATGCAGCACATTATTAACCTTGTCGTTTTGTCTCTTTTACACACAATCTACTTAAAATCATATGTTCAAGGGCAGTATGGGTGCACCTGGACAAAAGTGAGACATAATTTATTTATCGCCATGCATTTGCGAAGCCTCTTTGGCAGCATAACAAAAGTCCAGGTGAATTCCTTTGTGGGAAACACGTATGGTTTTCAAGCCCTTCACAAAAAAAAGACCGAACATGTTTGGCAGTGTTACACGTTAAGCTTTGTGTTTAGCATCTCCGGTGTATGATTCTACAATAAGTTTGGCTAAGCTCTTCTCCTGCTAAGAACGTGGATTACAAAAATAAGTATTTTAGGGATTTTTCAAACCCATGGAGAGTGTTATAACTGTTATAATCTTATTTATGTAAGAATAATTGCTTACAGTTAGGATAATCACAATTTCCACAACAATTGACTCTTAATTTTTTTCAGACTCAAGCTCATTAAGCTTTCAAATATCTTCTTTATTCAACACTTCTTTTGTAAGCTACGTTTGAAAATCAAGGTGGTTTCACAAGATGACTACCAAGACCTTATTCGTTTAGATAATGCAGAATTAAAAGTTGACATGTGATGAGGTAATGATGTCGCATCAAATATACTTCGAGTGAGTTTTCTAATTCGAGCTGATGAAGTATCATCAGCTTTTTTTTGTGGTCGAAAAAACATAGTAAGGGGTTCATATCTAATAAACAAAACTTAAAATGCAAACAGTGGAACTGGATTGTAGCTAGTTCACACCTTTGTTGTCAACGATGCCAATGCTCCTGCCAAAATAAGGTCCGGTGTCAGGACGCAACGCGCACCGATCACTATCTTACACCAATTTCTAAAGCAATAAAGTTGACGATTAACAAGAGCAGAGCTTAAAGGCAATAGCGAATGTAGTGTTGACTAAAAACAACGAAAACAAAATTTTGCTCTAAACATGTTAAAAATAACATAAAACAAACACAATTTTTTTACCAACCTAGACCATTCCAATGTATCGATCCACGTAAAATACCAGTACTTTTGTTGTTATATGACTTTGGCATGGGTTTAGAAAAAAAAAAAAAGAGAAAAAAGAAAGAAACAAATACAAATACAAATAAACAAAAAAAGCATTTCTATATATACAATTCTAAATTTCAGATGTGAGAGTTCGTAGATGAATGTACCAAAATACTACTACCGAAGACAATGCAGATATCTAAGAGATGCATTTTTCTTCCGACCATCATAGTGGCTTCAGTATTTCTATTTTTATGGGTGAGACAAAGGACTTGGGTGAACAACACCTACAACGGGGACACAAAGGCAAAAAACACAGAAAGACAAAATTATCGGATAGGCTTACCTGAATCCCTAGATTTTACATTTGAGGTAAGGTATGCAGTTATACGGCCGAGAAAATACAGCCAGACAACTGGGAAGCGATTTGTGTATCTCATTGAAAGCCCAACAAAGGGGGTCATCAAAGGATTACAAGAAACGAAAGAACGTGACGTCATCTGGATGACGTTTGCAGATAGGTCAGGTGACATTTACGCCCCAGACACCTCCGCTGCTTCCGGAAGAAATGTGCTTCTTCAGCACGCGGTGAACTTAGCGGCCCAAATGAAAGACGGTGGTTATCTTTATTATATATTCATGGACGATGACCTGGAGCTTTCGGTTAAGTCGGACGGGCAGGTCAATTGGAAACCTTGGCCAAAGATGGCCTCGGACCCTTTTCAGAGGTTCGAGGAGTTTCTTATGTATTACCAACCGGCTGTAGGACACGTTCGTTACCGAGATATGGGTAGACAGCTTGTCAATAAAAAACAACCCGTAAATTTGAACTGGGATTTTGACGAGTGTTTGAATGCTTTTCACAAGGATACACTGTCATTTCTCATTCCGTATGATTTGCACTTAGATTATGAATCGTGGTTTAATGGCGCCTGGATGACTCGTCAGTTGATCTCGATGTTGTATCATAGCTATCGCATTCAGTGCAACTCGTTGCATGTTACAAATCGCATTTCAAATAGAATGATCTCAAAGGACAGATACAAGCACAATCTTCATTTCGAAACACCGCGAAACTACATCTCGTCTGCTTTGTTGACGAATATAAAAACTAACCCTCCCAAAGCCAACCCATTAATTGAAGCTGTATTGAAAGGAACATCTTCGCGCCAAAGTCCAGGTACTCTACAGCCAGGTCCTTACATAAAGATTCCAGGGAAACCGAAACTGAAAGGCAACCAATCGTATCTTGTGACACCGGATTTCATCCTTCAACACTGGGACAATACCCATCCCATGATTAGGAAGAAATTAACTTGGTTGCAAAAACCAGAGATACAGAAGATCCTTGGGCTAGATAATCGTCTTCAGCAGCCGTTTACACCCGATACTTTGTACTGCTCCGCACCGAATATCTTTTCACTAACTATTGGACAGTGACATCAAAAGGACTAATGCAAACTTCCCATGCAATTTATTTTCAAACGTCTATCTGCATAAGAGTCGATCATTTGAATAAATATTTTCTTTTCATAAAATTATGATTAACTAAGCCAGAGACAATGCTATACTGGTATTACATGATAATTTCTTGTTGACAAAGAGTATTTTGTAGAACATTATTCAAACACTAATAGAGTGTTTTCCACGAAATCGTACGCGTGAGCATGCGCAGTTCGCGCCATTTTGTGCGGGACTGTTTCTCAGGGGGCTAGAGTAGAAGGGGCCTTCATGGACGGCTGTCACGATGTAAAGTACCCCTGTAGATCTCCCGCTCTTTGCATTTATCGGTAATTGGTGGTCATGACAACTGCTGTGTGTATAACTGCAGCCACCGGAGAGGTAGAAAAGACAATGTTTGTAGTTTTTTTTTTGTATTTCCAAAGGACAGACGTTCGACATTGCTATGGATTAGTGCCGCTGGTCGTGCGAGCATTTCATTGAAAGATATAACTGACAACTTCAAAGTCTGCGGCTGTCACTTCCAATCCGGGAAGCCAAACAGGAAAGATAGTAGGCCTATGTCTATTGATGCAGTACCATCAGCTGATTTACCAAAGTCACGCAAAACGGCTAAACAGTATTTCAAGTGCGACATGGGTCGAAGCGGCGGAGAGTAGGACTACTGTAGTAGAAAAAATTATATTGAAGAAGCTCTTCACAGCAAATTTACTTTCTTTCATCGTTTTATTTAGAAAAGTAAAACTGCGTACAAAAATATTATCACAAAGACATATTTGATTTGTTCACTGCTGAGCTGTTGCATGTCCAAGTTTGCAAATAAATTACTGTACTAGTAAATGCACTAGCAACCCATCTTCCAATTAAAATTAATCTAAAAAAGCTGCACATTAACACCTGAGTAAAATAAAACCAACCTACATGGGAAATGTTAATTTAAAGCACCATCATCTGAGACCAAGTTATTATTAAAAACATTACTATATCACAATGTAATTAAATATCCATTGCACTGCTAAATACATAAAATATATACAAATTGCACTTGAATCCTGCATCAACTGATCAATAAAATAAAAATCTACTCTAAAAAGATGAAAGATCACTCCTGAGAACCATTTCCATTCTACTGTATTCCGGCAAAACCTATATAATAGCACCATCTAATACAACCATATATTAAAACTTTTACTTTGTCACAGTGTTGTTTAATATCTATATCTATGTTAAATACGCAAAAGAAAAAATATTATCATGCAAGGATTATTATAACAGCATGAAAATAAAACACTAAAGATTTTCACAACCCAAGATCACAATGCAGAATAATATTGCACATATTCTCAGTTTGGTATAAAATGCATGTATAGAACAAAGCTTGAATTTTTGAATGAAAAAAAATGAAAAAGAAAAACGTTTAATAGTAGCGTACACCAACTCTGTCAAAATGAATGTCTTGTAAAAACTGGTCAGTTTAGGAACCACAGATGCCCAATGAACAGCATCAAACAGAACTGATTCAATGAAGAGATCCTTCTCTGTGCACAAAACAAAATCATACTCATCATACAAGTAGCTATGTTTCTGATTCAAGTATGGCCTGTTGTTTTCGTCTAACTTTAAACATGACAGTTTTCATGTGACACAGAGTGGTCACTAAAGCTGTTGTGTAGATTTTCTGCACATATCCATCTTGAAAATACCGATAAGCTTTCAGACTTTTTAATGCCCGCACAAATTTCTTATCGTATGTCCTATCCTTGCTGTCTATGATATACGTTTTCAGTTCTTTCTTGGAAAAGTCATCAGGTACGTCTGTTAAAATTCTATTCCAAGTACTCGCATGAATGTGTTTTCGAAAAAATTCAGGTGTTATCATGTTACAAATCCTTGAAAATTCAGATCGAAACGAGCACTCGTCGATATGGCGTCCGTCATGTACACTCCGCACTTGCCCCTTGAAACTTCAAATCCCGCAGAATATCGTGTTCTCACGGAAAATTTAGCGGTAGTCACGTGACCGTGGAAAACACTGTATTGGACTGTAGCGGATTCACGCTTTTACTTTAAGGGTAGGTAGGTTGAGATACAAATATGAAAAAAAAAAAACAATTACCGCATGTAATAAACTTTTTACACATATGAAATGATTGCCTACACTTCTTTTATTAAGTTAGTAAGCTTTATTGAAGTCTTAAAAGTATGGAAACAATGTATAAAGTCAATGGAGTTGCCTTGAGTGTAAACATGTACAAATATGCAAATGATGTGGCAGCTCCTCCAACACAATAAAGGTGTATCAAACCCTACAAAGTTTGTGAACATGCTTAAAAGCTTAATGTTGGTACTGGGGTACCACGTGTATGAAGGTTCTGTGTCTCTTAGTAAATGATGAATTCTTCAATCTTACAATTACAAATGGGTGAAATGGAAATAATGTATTAAGTCATTGAAGTTGCCTTGGGTGTACAGATGTACAATTATGCAAATAATGTGGCAGCTCCTCTAACGCAATGAACCCCGCATTGTTTATGAACATGCTTAAAGTTAATGTCGATACTAGGGTACCACATGTTAGCGGCTAGTATAGTGGATCGCCCTTGCTCCGTCAGATTTTGCCGGTGATGCAGTTTCAAAGGTATGGTTTAACGTAAGTAAGTATTGCACCCAAGAATTGTTCCGATATTTTGCCATGGTATCGTCCTACAGCACAAAAAAAGAAACAACTTTGAGCAAAATTTGTGAAGCCAAATTTATATTGCCTTGTCCGAACATTTACTATAAAAATTTCACCACAAATACTAATGTAGCAAAATACATGTATGTAGGTAGAATGTGTTTATCCTTAAAAAAAACCTTTATTTCGGTTCCAATTTTAAGTAATTTTTGTTAGCTATGTAAAAAGCGAAAATACATCATAAAGATAGCTGATACACGCGTAGTCATATAAGATGTAAAATTCTAAATACACAAAAGTATGATTACTTAAGAAGTTCAGTGCTTATTATGTTAGACCAGAGACAGTTTTAAGTTCATTTAATAAAAAAAAAATAATGATACTGGTTCAGATATGAGAAGAGGAACAAGCATTACCGGTAGCTGTGTTCAGGTATCATTCGTTAATACATACCAATAAAATAGCCGTTTCATCAACATCCGCGTACACCCAAGTGTACAGGAGGCGTCGTTGTAATTTCAGTATAGAATATCGTCCCTCCAAGCTGCTCAGTCCATCTGACTTCCATCTGCTTAGAGCTGAGCCTAAAAGGTCCCACCTGCAAATAAAGACCCATTCCAGTCAGTGCGATCATTAAGGGCGCTTGCGCGCGCGAGAAAGAGATAGACTTTTTTAGGTTATTGAGCTTGCAGATAACTGTGCGTCGTGTTTCGATTAATCTTTCGTTGTACTATTTCTTTAACACAAAATTAAAAAAAATATTTTCGACAGAATGAATTGACATTCTTCAGTATTCATATTGTACGAAAGATTCAACAAACCACCAATAAATGCATCGATAAATAAATCAACAAATACATCATTACGTTTTGTTTAAAGATAGTTTTAAATGCACAGAGTTTTGAAATCTTGAGGTCCTGCTTACCTCAGCGGGTTACCGGGGTTACTTTTCTCGTGCTGATGTTTGATCATTTTATACCGTCCAATCTCACCGGGTACACTGCTATAACCAGGACCGTTTTTATCCCGAATTCTAAAATAATGGTTAGAAAATAGAAATAGTGGTTAGAAAATAATCATCACAACACTGGGAAAAATATGACGCAAATTACAAAATGCCTATACTGGTAGTTAAACTCCAGGCGACCAAGAAGTGAGAGCCGACATTGAAAACCGACATTGAAAAATTATCCTTTCCAAAATCGAGCAGACTTTGGCTGATAAAACAATAATTTTTTATGTATAGGACACAGCTATAGTGGTGTCACCATTACTTAAAATGTTCATCAAAAGTGCCATCCCCAAGAAATGCCAGCGAGCCTTAGGTATTGGAGTCGAATTGCGACATTTCAATTCAAGATCAGTTTGATGGTTTCATTATTGCCGCATCTTAATCTTGTTTCTCAAAAAAAAAAAAAAAAAATGCACATTCCTATCAGATTATAGTTAAAAACATGTATCCTACTTTGCAATTATACAAGAATTACCCAAGTTTGAAAGCTCATCCTAGGCAACAGACACGCTTGACTTAACTAAATTGGGCATTTTATATTCCTTTTTGAACAAAATATCATATCCTCATCAAGTAAAATATATCAACATTTTAACTCTATGATTTTGTTGTATCTTTCGCCCGAAGACTGCTTCACGCGGTCGACATCTACATTCCTTAATGACACAGAAAGTCTGCGACGACCGCGATCTTGCTCTACCTGAACGGGAGATCATGCATTTGGCCCTGCGAAAGGATTGCGCTAAGCCAATTATCCTTTGATCTCCCCTCGCGTCTCCAGTCTCTTCGTACATGGACAAAATAACGATTTCGTAATTTTGTCCATGCTCTGTATTTTTTGTCCAAGGTCTAAACTAAAATTCTAAGAAAATAATTTTTTTACAGACGATAAGGGATCTATTTTTATTGTATGAGCATCTTTTTCAACATTAAATCATTAGAATAACTTGATGAGTAAAATATCTTAAGTTAATTTCCAGCTGAAGGAATCGTCTTTACCTTGCCGACATGTCGTCGTCCTCTCCTCCCCACCCAAAATAAACATTAGAAAAACCGTTCACGTGATGCATGTGCTCTTTAGTTAACGCAATAACGCCACCAAATATGTATTGATACAGAGCTCTGAAGAAAGAAATACAAGCTGCCATTAATCACTATCATTCACAATGTTCTCAAATAATGAGAAGCATGATTTATATTCCAAGGGTGAAAATTACAGTTAAGTCAGCCGTATGAGTCCAAGATAATTACCAAATGGTGCAAGAATAAGATATTTAACAAAATTACACAATTTATTTCATTTCAGAATTAAAGACATTTGACGTCAATTTGATGCGACAGAATGCTATTGAAGAATGAAATGAATAAAAGAATAAAGTCAAGAAAAAAACAAAATCAAGTAAAATAAAATGACTGACAGACAGACAGACAGGCAATTTTGTAAAAGGCAAGACAAACAAACATACTTGTAGTTATATTTGTCAATAAGCACTGACATATGCCTAGGTTTCTCCGCACATCTGTATATATTCAATTCATTCTCTGCTATTAAATCTACATCGTGGAAGATGAAGCAGCTGTAGTTGCCTAACTTTGATGATTCCACGAAACCAATGTTCATTAGCATGGCGCGGTTGAACGGAGGACCTTCACGCTGTAACAGAAAAGTTATGACATTATATAGATATTTCAACTGATATAACTATTTTATCCGTCACCTTTTCGATTAAATAACACTCTTTATTTCGTAAGGTTCCAAGTATGCGGTATTCATCGGCTCTAATTGGGGTTGCAAATTCACCCAGGCGTATTGTTCACGTGTCAGAATTTTCTCATTATATAGCAATGTTAATTTCCTATTTGTCTATGCGGATAAGAAAAAAACTCACACATCACCCCCCCCCCTCCAAAGTGGTCAATCAAGCTCGTGCGAAAGAGAAAACTGCACCTCTCGATATGGAGTATCAACACATCTGATAGTCGAGATGCAGAGGATATAGACACAACTTTCATATAGCATGAATATGTTAAAATAACAGTATGTCTAACACCCAAGGCATTACTGTCTCATTTATCTTTAAAATGGTAAACAAAACCCCAAGGAGATTTTTCTGGAGAGGTTCTCGAAAAAGATATATAACAGCATCAGTTTGTTGGTTTATTGGTTTAACAGAGATAGGCGCCAAATAAACAGCTTACGCCTTTCTATAACACAAACTAATCAAAATATCAACATAGGGCTCATTTCCAATAAAAGTATCGGTCTCCTTTGATCAATCCAACTCCGCTGAGACTCTTGGTAATTGCAATCAGATTAGTAGATTAACATCGCTCCTCCTGGCGTTGAGTGGAATACAGAACAGCTGGTGCTTATAAAAGTACGTTGGAAAAAAGAGGAGACTTGTTAATACGTTAAATTTGTGTGTGCAGTTTACATAAAACCAGGCAACACTGCAACTGATGAGGCCACTTTCGATATCCTAGAAGATGAAATTGCACGCTATCAGGCACTAGGCTCAGTCTGTCTCCTAGGTGACTTTAATGCAAGGACTGGGACTTTGTCAGACTTAGTCAAAGATGATAGCATGTTTGGACCGGTGCCTGACAGTTTGGCCAATAGCACACTTAAACAACCTAGAAACAATTTAGATAGTGTGGTAAACCCCCAGGGAAGAAGTCTACTAGAACTGTGTAAAAGCAGTAGTTTAATCATCTTAAATGGTAGAACACAAGGCAACTCCTTAGGATATTTTACCTGCTTTAACAAATTGGGATGTAGTGCAGTAGACTATGCCATTGTTAGTGACAGGCTACTCAGCAATGTTAAGTATTTCACTATCCATCCTATTGATTACTTGTCTGATCACTGTTTATTGGATGTCACGTTTCAAACAACAGGTATCAAAGAGTATAGAAACTCACAGTCCCTTCAGAAATTCAATGGTAGATATATCTGGGAGTCAGACTCATGTGAAAAATTTTTAAGTGCCCTTGAAACTGAATCAAACATGTCAGCCATCTGTAATCTGCAGTCAACAAACTTTCCTGCAACAAAGAGTGGAGTGCATGATGCATGTCGCTCTCTAGTAAATATTCTTGAAAACGCCGCAGAAGCATCCCTACGAAAAAAGAAACCTCAAAGTAACAAACAAAATAAAAGACCAAAAAAAATAGTGAAAAAACAGCCATGGTTTGACGGTACCTGTCTGGAAGTAAGGAGAAATGTCAAATCATTAGGAAAACTCCTTCAAAAAAACCCGAAAAATAAATTCATTTCTGATACATACCATGTAGCTGTCAAAAGGTACAAGAAAATGATTAAAGAAAAGAAAGAAAACCACAAGACTACCATGATAAATGAATTGCTAAACCTTGAAGAAAAAAATCCTAAAGCCTTTTGGCAAACCCTACAAAAACTGAAGGGTAAAAAGCACCAAGAAAACCTAATTGAACCAGATACATGGCTTAACCACTTCTATAACCTATGTGGAATCCCACCCCAGGACGAACAAGAAATAGATAATCAAATCAAAGCACATGAAAATATGCTAGGCGAGCCCACCCTCAACCTTCCCATAACTGTACATGAAGTCAAGAAAGCCATACGGAAGTTAAAAAATGGAAAATCTCCTGGTGAAGACATGATAAGAAATGAAATGCTGAAGACAGGGGCACAGTACCTTACAGGTGTGCTTACTAAACTCTTTAATCTAGTGTTAGATACGTCAGAAATCCCTGATCCATGGAACCTCGGGATTATTATTCCGCTTTTTAAGTCAGGAGAATACATGAACCCCTCAAACTACAGAGGACTCTGTATAACTAGCTGTTTGGGAAAACTGTTTAACTCTATTTTAGCAAACAGAATCATTGAATACCTCCAATCAAAAAACAAGTTAAGTGAGGAACAAGCAGGATTTCGGCCGGGATATAGAACTACCGATCATATCTTCACTTTGAAATCGATAATTAACAGACACATCAATCAAAATAGGAAACTATATACATGCTTTGTTGATCTGAGAAAAGCATTTGATACTGTGTGGCACAAGGGCCTACTATTGAAACTGCTCAAAACTGGAGTAGGAGGAAAATTTTACAGCATCATTAAAACAATGTACAGTAACACCAGATTAGGCATCTCTGTTGGGGAAGGGTACACAAAGCCTTTTATATCAAGGATAGGAATCAGACAAGGGGATAATCTTAGTCCTACCCTCTTTAATGTGTTCATTGATGATATCAAAGAAATCTTTAAGAACAAAAATAAGGACTGCTCAATTGATGGCCTAAACCACATCCTCTATGCAGATGACCTTGTCCTGTTATCAACTAGCAAGGAAGGACTACAAGGCCACTTATTAGCACTTCAAACATATTGCAGAAAATGGAAGGTTCAGGTAAATGAGAAAAAGTCAAAAGTTGTCATCTTTAACAAACAAGGGAAACTAGACAAGAATATTAACTTCTATATAAATAACAAAATCATAGAATCTGTGAAGAATTTCACATACTTAGGAATAACCTTCACAAACACAGGGTCTTTAAAAAAAGCAATTGAAAACCTGAAACAAAATGCAATGAAAGCATCTTTTGCACTGAAAACAGCACTTTCCTCACACCAAATATCTTCTCCCCTACTATACATGAAACTCTTTGATAAAACCGTCAAGCCAATCTTACTCTATGGTTGTGAAGTTTGGGCAGAGGAACTATTTAAAGATAAGAAAATCTCCCTCCAAAAAATTAATAAAATGCCTTTTGAGCAGCTCCATCTAAAAACGTGTAAGTGGGCTCTTGGTGTACGGAAATATGCAAGCAACAATGCAAGTAGGGCAGAACTTGGAAGGCTGCCACTCTACACAGATATTGTAAAACATGTTTTTAAGTACCAAATTCGTTTCAAAGAACTTGCTCCAAATAGAATCGTGAAACAAATCTATGAAAGAGAAATCCATTTAAAAGGGCCTAGCTGGTCAAGCTCTCTAAAAACTTTTATAGACCTCTGGGGACTGTCAACAGATCTAAACACTGTAGACCCAAACTTACTTCAAGTAAATGTTATTAAAAAAATTGAAGAACTTTTTTGGACCGACCTGCACAGTGACAATAAAAGCAAACTAAGAACTTATAAAGCAATAAAGAAATCCTACACTCCAGAAAATTATCTCACAATGAAAGTCCCTCTAAATGAAATAAAAACACTTGCAAAATTTCGAATCAGCGACCATGACCTAGAAATTGAAAGAGGTCGCTACACAAAACCCAAAAAACCAGTAGAAAACCGAATATGTCCACATTGCAATGATGTTGAAACAGAAGTGCATTTCCTACTTAAATGTAATGAGCATGTGAACGAAAGAGAAAAAATGATAAAAATGATACCGCCGCAAATGTCATCTGATTTAGAAAAACTTGCCTGGCTTCTCAATCCTCAAAGTGAACACTCCCTAAAAACCGTGTGTCACTTCATCCAACAAACATTTAAAAAAAGACTAGCCTGTCAATAATAATGAGCAAGTCTACCACAATACAGAACAATGTAATTGTCATTATGTAATATAGGTATTTTTTTAATCTTATTATCATTATTATTATTTATTTATTTATTTTTATTGTGATAATAGGTCTAGATTGTACTAAATGTATCTATATACAAGTAGTTTAGAGGGCTTGCAAAATGTACTGAAACATTTTAGTGCTCAATAAATTATTATTAAACTGATTGCATTAAACAAGAGGTCCTGTTGAGTTGGGTCGATGTACGTGAACAGATAGTTCCATTGGGAATGAGCCTTCAGACAGAAAACGCGTGGTTACTGCTCTGATAATTATTTAACCACTCTCAAGAGAAAAAGTGGTTAGTACATGTATCTAATAGTTTTTATCACATTGAAAAACAGAATGCGGTGAGGTTTTCTCTACCTTTAGACACTTGATCTTTGTTCTTTTCATGCTTTTTATGGTTTTTCAATACACATATGATATGATAAGGACATATGTTTTTAATATTTCATGTTATAGAAAGAAAGCCGAAAGCAGGACTGCGAAAGAGTGGGAGGGCACTGAGATTTTGGAAACTGTTTTTTTTTTTTTTTTTTTTTTTTTTTTTTGGGGGGGGGGGGGGAGGAGNAAAATGATACCGCCGCAAATGTCATCTGATTTAGAAAAACTTGCCTGGCTTCTGAATCCTCAAAGTGAACACTCCCTAAAAACCGTGTGTCACTTCATCCAACAAACATTTAAAAAAAGACTAGCCTGTCAATAATAATGAGCAAGTCTACCACAATACAGAACAATGTAATTGTCATTATGTAATATAGGTATTTTTTTAATCTTATTATCATTATTATTATTTATTTATTTATTTTTATTGTGATAATAGGTCTAGATTGTACTAAATGTATCTATATACAAGTAGTTTAGAGGGCTTGCAAAATGTACTGAAACATTTTAGTGCTCAATAAATTATTATTAAACTGATTGCATTAAACAAGAGGTCCTGGTGGTACACCGGTGGTACAAATAACATGTTTTCATGCATTGTAAGCCTTCAACAACAGCGCCCCACCAAAAAGAAAAAGGAACGTTTTTCTGAGTCAGCGTTACTGATTAATGGCTTTATATAAGCACAGTGGCAATGAGAAGCAGGCACAGTATGAATTTTAAAGAATTTAATAATATTTCACCATTAGTATTGAATCATATGAGCTAGGACAACAAAATGTTTTTAACTTCAAAAAATATCAGAAGTGATAAAAATTGACTTACCTGATCTACAACAAATATCCCGTAGTCTTAGTTTTGTTTCTGAAACAACGGAATCATGTTATTAAGAAAAACTCTCAGCTGTGAATCCCGTCCTCGGAAAGGAATTATGATGGCGACGTGAACGTTAGGATTACAGTTCCTTGGTCTCCAGAGCCCTCCTGGTAGTAAACCAGTATCTTTAAATTTGTTTTCAAGCTCTCTCCAAGATGGCGGATGCAAGTTCACCATCCGTCTGCTAGCTGCAAAATAACGATTGATTTTTAAACAAAATTAGTTGGGCCTAGCTGTCACTAGTTTGGTGAATATATGACCACAGTGTGAAATGAATATAATTTGAGAAAATGGGAAGAATGTATATAAAAAAATTCACATGGATTTTTTTTAATTGAGCTAAGATGATGATGGGTTGAGAAATAATACAGTTGTAACTTAAACCAGGAAAAGTCGTTGCTTATTTTGTGCCTCGGTTTCAATAACCTTCCCCAACAAACTCACCTAAAGCGGCTTCGTGGATAGAACACGTCTTATTAAGTCCGTCCCCAAGTCCGATGACCGTGGTGACAGCGTCTTGTATTTTTAAAGAAGCGGTATTCACTATTAACGGTCCCTCTGTCATCCCAGCGTCTATCGCGCGTCTTGTGTTGACTTTGGTTGGATTAACACGACCACCTACATTTATCACGTCCAGATATGTGGTAATTTCTGCATCAGATGCATTTGAAGTTAAGTTCAGCACACTCTGTGTTGCTTTTACAGCAGTCACGTTCAGAGACGAAGACGAAAATGTCATGCTTGACAAAACTGAAATAATTCTGTCTGGATATTGCAGTAAAAAAGAAAACAGTGATATTTTAACTAGTCTAAATCTGTTACCCATGTTTTCCAGCGTTTGACGACGTCCTGTGTATCGGATCTTTTCAGTATATATGATATATATCAACATCTGCAGTAAAAATAAGCCCACTAAAAGACAAACTATCGTTTTTATCCGGGCATGTTGCTTACAAGAAATTGTCGCCATGTTGTTTTTCGAATACTCGCCCTCTTTTGTCCATCGCATAAAAAATTACGTGATGATAGATTTACTCGAATCACATTTTATATCCAGGTGATCAATCAAAAGTCAGTTGGAGGAAACTTTTATTATAGTGAGTTCGTTTTTTTCCTCGCATTAATGTTACTTTTGTTTGATCATCTTGTTTCTTATCTCGGTGTACTTTTTACTGAAGTCTCGCTCTTTGTTCAGACACAGACTTAACTTCAGTATTTACTTTTCTCCATTTTTCAGATAAGTAAAGAATGTTATCGCAAGCGTGTATTGGCTACAGAAAGAACTCTATTAACTAGGGTTCTCAATATTTTTTAAGACCAAGTCACCCAGGACGTTCCAAGACTGGAGTATCCCTGAGGTGATAAACAACCTATACTGAGCTGGGTGGATTCAGAGTGACTTTTTTATGATGTTGATTCCAATCCCAATGTATTTTTCACTGAAGTGCCCCTTTGTTCAGGCCCAGATGACATGACGAATTATATGCTTTTCCCCATTTATTGAGGTGGATCAGTGATCAATTCGTTTTAAAAAAACTTTCAAGATCAAAACGTTTTCTTCTTACTTCTTTTCACTTCTGTTTATCTAAGAAGAAACAAGACTAATATATATATATATATATATATATATATATATATATATATATATATATATATATATATATATAAGTAAAGGCTCATTCTTAATATCGTTCAACTTACATAATTTACACGTTTTATATAGTTTAAGGTTGAGTATCAGTTTAAAATGTTACATACAGTATGGTCAAGTCTATTATACAGCCCAAAGACATGGACGCTAACAAAAAAATGAAAAAAAAAAAAAACGGGAATCGTTATAGAAGGATGCCAAAATTTCATAGACTGAACACAAAATTACCGAGGAAGTACTAAATAATCTAAAAATAAGGTAATTACTTGAACACTATAGTTATGAAGAACAGAAAATTCATTTATTGTGCTCATACTAGAAGAAAAGATCATTTCCAGCGGTTGTTATAAGAAGGAAGTTATATGGGAAAATGGGGAAGGAAGACCGAGAGCAACATGGATGCACAACATAAAATACAGAGCAATCAAAAATATATAGCCAAGATATAGCATAGGAACTGCACAAGATCGAGAAGCAGGGAGATCCATGACAATTAACCTGATGAGAGTGTTAGTATGGCACCCAATGGTGATGATCATATAGCTCATGTGCATGGTTCTACGTTTGAAGCTTTATGTTCGCCTTCGGCAAGATAACGTGATATAAAATACCGGTAAGCAAAACATGTTCATTAGCTTGGTAGGTGTATTATAAATAAAAATATTCAAACACAAGCGGAAAAACTTTCGTACCGTTAGCTTACTGCCAACCTGGATGGGTCTTTACCGCTAAACCACCTAGCGGTCAGCATAAGGTCAACATCTGCTTACATCAGTCTGATAAAGGCCTACGTCCTGGTTGGTCTTAACCTAAGGTAACGGTTTTAAAGTTTTTCGGCTTGTGTTTGATTATTTTCATTTGTGATATAAAATAGTGTATGACTAGATATGGGTGATGCAGAAGGGAACACCACAAATAAAAAATTAACGACTTCAGCATACAAAGTTTGTGACGATTGTATGCAAAACGGGATTTTAAGGGCTGACATGAGTAATTATTTTCTGTCTTAAAGCTTTTTTCTGTCCTAAAGCAGGCTTTGTTCGCCTTCAGCAAGATAACATATAAAACAGTGGTTGACTAGGTGTAAATGATGCAGCTGGGAATACGACTCTACACAAGATAAAAGGTAGGTACTACTTGACTACAATTCCGTACTTATACCTTGCTCGTCTATCATAAAACTAATGGAATTTGTTCAGAGTTGTTTAGGCTATAAGAGTATCCGGGAAAGACTTGTGTAATGCAGTTATAATATTGAGAATAAGGGAATTATTCTGTCTACCTTTAATGAAGGAGCTTCTCAAAATAAAGGAGGGGTAAAGTAAAAATCTCACTAACCATATATCCCTCTAAAGAACTGTCACTTTTAATTGTTTTGCCACTTTTTCTTGTTTCATTCTTCTTCTTCTTATTATTATTATTATTATTTACATAACCTGTTATTCAGAGAGCTCCCTAACAATCATATAAAATGCAAATGGATTGATCAATGACATTCTTTTATTATGTAAAACTTGATATAGTGGTGGTATTTATCAGATTAACACTGTAATTAAAACTGCAGTTAAACACTGTAATGTTTTAACTGCAGTTTTAGTGTCTAATAGCATCACAGTAAATCAGGTTACCTATTTTTTAATCCCCTTTAGATGTTTTCTGGTAGTAACTGTCATGAGGGAATCGTCTTAGGACTTTTAAATGCTCACTGCCAGGTTGAATAAATTGTTTACGAAGTGTTTACAACAGATTCTGGTGTAACGGAACTGAGGATCCATGTAAAAGAAAGACCGCCCTCCATATAGTAATAAAGACTAGGGTTAGCCTAGCCTTAGTGAATCAAAATCTTAAGTGAAGCTTACACGTAAAATCAATGGAAAGCGGAGTATCTGTCATGGGGGACTCTGCGTCACGTTACACCGCACAATACAACACAATAAGTTCTCGAGATACATGAGCAAGCTACAGTATCTGATCCAACTCCTCCATTTTAAAAATCCCTGTTGGAACAGCTAACTGCTAACTATTTTGATCTAGTTGCAGGTGACGAAAGAAGAAATATAAAAGATAAATAACTTAACAAACATGATGTCAATGTATCAACGAAGGACCATAGTTCTCGTCGTTATCTTTATAGTGTTTTTAATTTCATCGCTCATTTTTCGCCATGTTAGGGAATTAAAACCAAATCTTTTCTCTAAACACTCGAGTAATTCTAAAAAGGAACTTAAACAAAAGTGCACCATAACCACGGAGTTCATCAAACGTCTGGGCACCGGGAACATAGACGCCGTCAATGAAGATCTTTTAGAACACTTAAGAGGGAAATGGATTCTCCCTCCTTCCAAACTGCCATATAATCTTTCCAACCCAAAGGCAAAATACTGGGATCAAATTGGACAATCAAAATTGGTAGATAAGATTCTGAAGCAACGTCGCAAAGGATTCTTCGTGGAATCAGGAGCATATGATGGAGAGGCTCATTCCAATTCTCTCTTCTTCGAGATTTCACGAGAATGGGAAGGATTGCTTGTGGAGCCAAACCCGTGGTCTTTTCAAGCTCTTTTGAACAAAAACAGGTATAAGTCAAACAAATGTTTTGTTCTATCAAGTTGTTTACATGCAAATATACTGTTGGAAATGAAATTTGGTCTTGTACTAGATCTCACGTTCTGAAGCAAAGGTCACAACATTTCGACCTCACCACAAGGCCTTCTTGCCCCCCGTAGCCAGAGGGAGTTTGGGGGTTGGGAAAAGGTTGGGTAAAATTTTATCTAGGTAAATGAAGGTTTCATGCTAAAAGGTCCACTTTTTTCAGAAGAGAACCCCCGCTTTGAAATTGCTGGCTACGGGCCTGGACCTTATTACAAAGCCGCCACGTGGTAACAGATATGGTAACATATATGGTAGCTTCTATCTCAGGCCACCTTGCTTGTTGTTGAACCCGTTCAAGAATGGCCTCTTTTATTCTTGATGACGTTATGAATTTGGCATGTACATGAAGCTGCTCACACCTTCATAGATTAGGTGTGTATTTCTATTTTTTTTTCTTTATAGGAAAACCTTTGTTGCTAATACGTGCTTGGCAACGGGCCACAGTCCCGCAATGGTTGATTTTACGTTCGCCCATGAGATAGGAGGAATGGCCGAAAAAAGCTACGCTATTTCTAAAGGCGAACAAAACGCCATTGAAGGAAAAAGTCGCATACAATGTCTTCCCATTCGCTCTCTCCTGGCCACCATCGGCCGGAATCACGTAGACTACTTTACCTTGGACGTAGAGGGTGCCGAAATAGAAATTCTCAAATCGTTTCCATGGCAACACGTCACCGTGGACGTGTGGACGATAGAGTACGCAGTTCACGGCGGAGGTCCTGATACGCCAAAACGTGAGAAAGCAATTAGGGAGATCTTCAAAAATACAGGACTCTATAGGGAAGGGACTATACTAGGGAGCCAAGATATAGTGTTTGTCAGAAAGGACGTACCACAATGAAAAAGCAATATCATAAATATGTCACATATAAAACTGTTCTGTTTAGTGTTCACGTGATACAACGTGCATGATACTGTTAAATGTTAGCTAAAAATGACATACCACAATGACAAAGCGATCAGAAATATGTAAAAAGAAATACNATCCATGTAAAAGAAAGACCGCCCTCCATATAGTAATAAAGACTAGGGTTAGCCTAGCCTTAGTGAATCAAAATCTTAAGTGAAGCTTACACGTAAAATCAATGGAAAGCGGAGTATCTGTCATGGGGGACTCTGCGTCACGTTACACCGCACAATACAACACAATAAGTTCTCGAGATACATGAGCAAGCTACAGTATCTGATCCAACTCCTCCATTTTAAAAATCCCTGTTGGAACAGCTAACTGCTAACTATTTTGATCTAGTTGCAGGTGACGAAAGAAGAAATATAAAAGATAAATAACTTAACAAACATGATGTCAATGTATCAACGAAGGACCATAGTTCTCGTCGTTATCTTTATAGTGTTTTTAATTTCATCGCTCATTTTTCGCCATGTTAGGGAATTAAAACCAAATCTTTTCTCTAAACACTCGAGTAATTCTAAAAAGGAACTTAAACAAAAGTGCACCATAACCACGGAGTTCATCAAACGTCTGGGCACCGGGAACATAGACGCCGTCAATGAAGATCTTTTAGAACACTTAAGAGGGAAATGGATTCTCCCTCCTTCCAAACTGCCATATAATCTTTCCAACCCAAAGGCAAAATACTGGGATCAAATTGGACAATCAAAATTGGTAGATAAGATTCTGAAGCAACGTCGCAAAGGATTCTTCGTGGAATCAGGAGCATATGATGGAGAGGCTCATTCCAATTCTCTCTTCTTCGAGATTTCACGAGAATGGGAAGGATTGCTTGTGGAGCCAAACCCGTGGTCTTTTCAAGCTCTTTTGAACAAAAACAGGTATAAGTCAAACAAATGTTTTGTTCTATCAAGTTGTTTACATGCAAATATACTGTTGGAAATGAAATTTGGTCTTGTACTAGATCTCACGTTCTGAAGCAAAGGTCACAACATTTCGACCTCACCACAAGGCCTTCTTGCCCCCCGTAGCCAGAGGGAGTTTGGGGGTTGGGAAAAGGTTGGGTAAAATTTTATCTAGGTAAATGAAGGTTTCATGCTAAAAGGTCCACTTTTTTCAGAAGAGAACCCCCGCTTTGAAATTGCTGGCTACGGGCCTGGACCTTATTACAAAGCCGCCACGTGGTAACAGATATGGTAACATATATGGTAGCTTCTATCTCAGGCCACCTTGCTTGTTGTTGAACCCGTTCAAGAATGGCCTCTTTTATTCTTGATGACGTTATGAATTTGGCATGTACATGAAGCTGCTCACACCTTCATAGATTAGGTGTGTATTTCTATTTTTTTTTCTTTATAGGAAAACCTTTGTTGCTAATACGTGCTTGGCAACGGGCCACAGTCCCGCAATGGTTGATTTTACGTTCGCCCATGAGATAGGAGGAATGGCCGAAAAAAGCTACGCTATTTCTAAAGGCGAACAAAACGCCATTGAAGGAAAAAGTCGCATACAATGTCTTCCCATTCGCTCTCTCCTGGCCACCATCGGCCGGAATCACGTAGACTACTTTACCTTGGACGTAGAGGGTGCCGAAATAGAAATTCTCAAATCGTTTCCATGGCAACACGTCACCGTGGACGTGTGGACGATAGAGTACGCAGTTCACGGCGGAGGTCCTGATACGCCAAAACGTGAGAAAGCAATTAGGGAGATCTTCAAAAATACAGGACTCTATAGGGAAGGGACTATACTAGGGAGCCAAGATATAGTGTTTGTCAGAAAGGACGTACCACAATGAAAAAGCAATATCATAAATATGTCACATATAAAACTGTTCTGTTTAGTGTTCACGTGATACAACGTGCATGATACTGTTAAATGTTAGCTAAAAATGACATACCACAATGACAAAGCGATCAGAAATATGTAAAAAGAAATACAACTATGTGCTTGTACATTTTTTTTTTATTGTCACTGAACACGATACTAATAAACTGGGTCGTAAATGTATCTTGAAAGTAGCGTTCAGCCGGAATTGTGATTCTATCAGAATATATGTTTTTGGAAATGTTTTAAATTAAAAAGTGGGGTGCCACATTTTTTAACTTTTTTTATGTCGCTCAGTGTCAATACCATCGTATCCAGTTTTCAAAATATTTTTTTTTCAAAATTTTTATGACTCCAATGTTTTTTCCCCATATTCCTGCCATTTATGATTATTTGCAGTTATCCACTCTAAATGATTTGCAAAACTCCAAAAATGCACCTTCCCTTTCGAGAAAATGGCCAATCTTGATGATTTTCAAACTCAAATTTGCTTTTATCAGATGGAGCTTAATTCCCTTGTAAATTTGAAGAAGCAAACCTACAATTAGGCAAGTATAATGTGAATGTCCCTAAAATACAATATAAAAACATTCAATAACTTTCTTTAAAAATATGTTTATGCTGGGTTTGTAGTTTCTACAAGGGAGGTGCATTTTTAGCTAACAAAGCCTCTCAACAAATTTGAATGGAGATAAAAAAAATACAGTTAGGCAATAACAAGGCATCGCCAAAATAAATGCAAGGGGAAAAAAAACAATAATCCTCCTAATAAATTATTTTAACACACACACACATACAATGTATAATCTTTTATCAGATATGTACATATGAAAGAGATAGATTTTTAAAAAATTCAGCATGCGTAAAAACTAAAATATTAACCAGTGCAACTGTTTTAAAATTGCAGTATATAATGTGACAGTCTCTAGGCTGTAATCTACCGATAGAGATTTTCAATCTGCGATGTGTGTGGCTACCCATCTGGGGCATTTAAATTACAGCCGCATCAGAACAGGACAGTAGAGACCAAATGTGAGCCAACAGATACAGTCAGAAAAAACAGCTAGTGATTCCCACTTACTGTAAAGGAATTTCAGAGAAAGTCTGCAGGATCTACAAGTACAAGCAATGTGTCAAAGGCCTTTATACCCCAGTGCACATTAAAACAACACTAAATGGCACCAAAGGACTAGCTTCACCCCTCGAGAACAACGTTGTGGGGACATGTAAAACATCAAATGCAATCATGGCATTTGATGTAAAACATCAAATGCCATTATTGCAATCCCTTTTACATAAGTGAGACGGGTAGACAGTTCAAAACCAGGGTAGACCAGTGACTGCCATTTCTGAACATGTAATAGACACCGGTGTGACAGGAATGAAGTCGGTTTCCCATTACTTTGTACAGTTTTCATTAGTCCCGTAGTCTAAACCCAATACCTCAACTAACGCTAATCTGTACTTATCATATGGGACCCCATCTCTATAGGACTACCATTCCTGTCAAATTGAATGGAATCCACCAAGATCCAAGATGTCCTTCGACATCCCATGGAAGATAGAAGAGACTATAAACAGCAGCCGTCACATGTAACAGTCACCCATGAAAAGGGACGGGGTGTCGATCTACCTGACATTTATAAGAGGGACCTGGCCACGATACCACCTAGCAGTCAGTGAGTGTCAACATCTTCTCACATCAGTCTGATGATGGCTCACGTCCAGGTTGATCGTAAGATAACGGTATGCCAACATTCCAGGTTGTGGTGAATATATTCATCTACCTTTTTCATCTAACCATCAAGCTAATGAACATTTTTTCCACATTGACAATAATCTTAATCCAGATACACGTTTTCCGAAACATTTTATTGATAAGAATTGTTAAACTATTATAACTTCAATAGTTAAAAGACCCTTGATTTTTATGGCAATACTCTCAAACGTTTCTCTGACTACTTGTGCTGTAGTATGGAATTTTGAGAATGAAGTGGTGTTCATCCCCAATATCTTTCAACTAACATAATTTACACGTTCTGTATACCCCGGAGTCTAAGTTTGTATATTAATTTAAAGTGTTACATACATATGGCCAACTCTATTATACAGCCCAAAGACATGGACACTAACATAAACAACAATGAATAAAGCGGGAAGCGATATAGGGACCATTTCCAGACCCTATCGGACTAACTGTGGATGGATCTATCTCCAAGGGGATTCTCCCTAAATTGCAGTCAAATTAAGTGGCTTAGATCTATGTCCCGCCTACTGAAGCCACTTAAGCTGAAAGCAATTTAGCGAGAAACCCCGTGGAGATGGATCGATCCTGTTAGATCGATCTAGGTGTGGGAAACCAGTCAAAGCAGGATGCTAAAACTTTTATGGCGGTATGAAAGTTTTTCGGCTTGCGTTTGATAATTTTCATTTGTGATATAGAATATTGTATGCCAAGATATAGATGATGCAGAAGGGATTCCCACCATTAATAAATTAATGACTTCAGCATATAAAGTTTGTGACGGTTGTATGCAAATGGGATTTTAAGGGCTGACATCAGTTATCCTTTTCTGTCCTAAAGCAGGTTTTGCATTAAACATGCTGTTCGCCTTCAGCAAGATAACATATAAAACAGTGGATGACTAGGTGTAGATGATACAGATGGGAGCACGACTCTACAGAAGACAAAAGGTAGGTACTACTTGACTACAATTCAATACTAATTCCTTGCTCGTCTATCATAAAACTAATGGAATTTGCTCAGAGTTGTGTAGGCTATACCAGCATTCGGAAAGACTTCTGTAATGCAGTTATAATATTGAGAATAAGAGAAATTATTCTGTCTGCCTTTAATGAAGGGGCTTCGCAGAATAAAGGAGGGGTAAACTAATAATCTCACTAACCATGTATCCCACTAAAGAACTGTCACTTTTAATTGTTTAACCACTTTTTCTTGTTTCATTATTATTATTAATATTATTATTATTATTATTATTATTATTATTATTATTATCTACATAACCTGTTATTCAGAGGGCTTCCAAAAATGCAAATGGATTGATCAATGACTTTTTTATTATGTTTCTGGGCAAGGCTACAGTATCAGGTTCAACTCCTCCATTTTAAATATTATACCCCTACCACCTGCCCGACAGACCTGGACTTTTTATTTTCTCTCTAGTCCACGAGTCAGACATAGTATTGGAACAGCTAGCTCCTAACTGTTTTGATCTAGTTTCAGGTGACCAAATAAGAAAGATTTAAGAAAAATAAATAAATAAACAAACATGATGGCGACGAACAAACGGAGGACTGTAGTTCTAGTCGTTATCTTTTTAGTGCTTTGTATTTCATGGCTTATTTTTCGCCACGTTTGGGAAATTGAACCGAATCTTTTCTCTAAACACTCAAGTAATTTTAAAAAGGAACTCCAACACAAGTGCAATATAATCACAGAGTTCATCAAACGTCTAGGAACCGGGAACATAGACTCACTCAATGAAGACCTTTTAGAACACTTAAGAGGGAAATGGATTCTCCCTCCTTCCAAGCTGCCATATAATCTTTCCAACCCAAAGGCAACATACTGGGATCAAATTGGACAATCAAAATTGGTAGATAAGATTCTGAAGCAACGCCGCAAAGGATTTTTCGTGGAATCAGGAGCATTTGATGGGGAGGGTCATTCCAATACTCTCTTCTTCGAGATTTCTCGAGACTGGGAAGGATTGCTTGTGGAACCAAACCCGTGGTCGTTTCAAATGCTTTTGAACAAAAACAGGTAAGTCAAAGCGAATGTCTCGATATATCAAGTTGATAACATACTAAGATAATGTGGGAAAAATTAATATGAATTTGAGTACTAAGTGTTGCGTTTTGAAGAGGAGGTCACAATATTTAGACCTCATTACAAGGTCACGCGTGGTGACGGTCTGTGTGAGAGATCTCCAGGATCACAGCATCAAATGTCAGCAGTAAATTCCTACCATTGTGAATTTGGTTTGTACGTGTTTCTGTTCACACCTGCACATATAAATTTATACTTTGGATAGATGAGAATGTGTATGTCTTATTTTTACTTCTTTTTAGGAAAACTTATGTTGCAAATACGTGCTTGGCAACGGGCCGCAGTCCCGCAATGGTTGATTTTACGTTCGCACGGGAGATAGGAGGAATACCTAAAAAAGGCCATGCAATTCCTAAAGGGGAACAACATGTCATTGAAGGAAAAAGTCGTATACAATGTTTTCCCATCCACTCTCTCCTAGCCGCCATAGGCCGGAACCACGTAGACTACTTTAGTTTGGACGTAGAGGGTGCCGAATTAGACGTTCTCAAATCGTTTCCATGGGAACACGTCACCGTGGATGTATGGACTATAGAGTACGCAGTTCACAGCGCTGTTTACGGTCCTGATTCCACAAAACGTGGGAATGCAATCAGGGAAATATTTAAAAACACAGGGCTTTACAGGGAAGGGATTATTCTAGAACCCCTAGATATAGTATTTGTCAGAAAGGACGTGCCACAATGAAAAGTGACTAATGTGATATGTTTCAAATACTAGTAGAACGGTACTGTGTAATTATCACTTAGTGCGGTATTAATGACATAATGTTTGTCAAAAAATGCCACAATGAAAAATCGACCAGGGATATATGTTCAAAATAAAACTATTTACATGTATATTGTTTAGGTTTCACTAAACACAATGTGAATGTACTGCGCCGTGTATGTACAGTGCACACGTAACTTTAATGTAGCGCTCAGTAACTTTAATGTAGCGCTTTTATCAGAAAATACAGCTAGAAACTTGGGTGCCACATTTGTGAATGTTTTGTGTCATTCAGTGTTATTTCCTCCGTATTAAATTTTCAATTTACTTTTTCAGAAGCTTCATGACTGCAATGCTTTTCTGCTATATACATGCCATCCCCCCCCTTCCACTACTGAATCTGCAGAAATCCACTTCATAGCAGCTACAATCGATTTACGGGAACTGTTAGGTTTAGCGCAAAAACAAACTTCGTATATTTACTGTCTTACATATTTTTGGATAATGGACAAATCTTCACTGTTCACTGAATTAATTCCTGTGTATTCACACAGATGCCATATCGTACCAATGACGTCATAATCGTAATTTTGGGGGAAATGCAAAATCGGTTTGTCAAATATCTCCTTCACCTCATTACCCACGGTGCATATGAAGTCAATTTTTGCCACAAAAACCAACCAAATGCTAGCANGTCCATATAAAAGAAAGACCGCCCTCCATATTGTAATAATGACTAGGGTTAGCCTAGCCTTAGTGGATCAAAATCTAAAGTGAAGTTTACATGTACAAATGAATGGGAAGCGGAGTCTTTGTCATGGGGGACTCTGCGTCACATTACACGGCACAATACAAAACAATAGGTTCTCGAAATACATGAACAAGCTACAGTATCTGATCCAACTCCTCCATTTTAAATATTCCTGTTGGAACAGCTAACTCCTAACTATTTTGATCTAGTTCCAGGTGACGAAAGAAGAAATATAAAAGATAAATAACTAAACAAGCATGATGGCAATGGATCAACGAAGAAAATAAGGATTAAAATCGTGTTTTAATAACTTTTATTTATCTCTTTGATGTGATTGTGACATCAGTTCAATAATTGAATTCGCCAGTGAGGCAAACAAAAATGCATTGCCTATTTTAAGTCACACGACAACCATTGAAAGCGATATTTTGGATCTCCATATTTTCGAAATTATCGTCTTTAAAAGAGTTTTACGCCCCACAATTCTGACATCATGTCTTCTACTTGTAGGCAAACCAGGCTTAATTTCCTGCCTCAGCCGGCATAATGACGGGACATGTCTTTGCTGCATAAAGTTAAGCATAAAAAATTGTGAGCTAAATCTTAATATATTCTGTTAAAGTTACAACAGGGAGTCGTTTCATTATTTTCTGTGTGCACAGTTTTAGACATCGAACCTGGGAAACTCCATATCAGTTTTATAGATCCCCCCCCCCTCACCGGGGGTTATATTTTAAAGGGTATATTTCATGTAATGTGGGGTTACAGTGTAGTAAAAAAGGCCCCTCACAAGAAAGGAACGGAAACGCACATGCTGCAATCAGTTGCTAAATCACCATGGGATATCGTAGGTTATCAAAACGCATTTATCTGGTACCAAGCACAATGGCACCATTTGCAAACGTGTGGCAAATTAGAAACCACGCAAACATAAACAGTGACTCAAGTATATCACTGTCTGATAATAGTGATACAATAATTTGTCTTACATATATACATACATGCTTCTGAGATTTGAGCTTATAATTGTCACATTCAATTTCATAAAAGAAACGGACATACTAGTAGTATTTCAATAAATGTCGGCAAATATTTACAAAGCCATTGCGCATGCGCACTCACTACCAAATTCGAAAAAGCAGTGTTCTCTTTTGAAGGTAAGTGGTAACAGTTAAGCATGTCGAAATTTGAAGTACTCCTCTCTTTAAATCACCTGTCTTTAAGTAGCATTTGTGGACGGTACCGTCTGAAAACGTAGCATTGCCTACGTATTGCCGATTACGTGAGCCGACCACCCCCAACACAAATGCGTATTGTCGCGCAACTTATTTAAGCACAACCAGTAGGCCTGTTTCGCCACTGGTACTACTTTTCTCTTATAGGTTTATTGGTAAAATGATCATATGAACTACCCAAAGACTAGAAAGATCTAACTTCAATTTACTTGGAAATAACCCTGATTCAAAAGAATTTACTAGACTAAAAGTTTACTGATCCATTGCTGCTGAAATTTCGTTGTATTCAGTTTAAGTTTGGGTCTAGAAAAAAATAAGCTCAGTCTAAAAATTGGATTTCATCTGATGTAAATGAGATTGATCGAAAACAAAACAGGAATAATTTATTACAATGCACAATTCAACTTGAACGAATGTTGCTGGGTACCTGTATTTACAAAATGTGCCGTCAAAATCACACTCTTACTGTGTCAGATACAGTTTCAGAAAATGGCTGTAAAACAATTAGTCACATGTGCAACATCCGGAGATATATGCTTATACACATGTGGGTGTTTCTCTCTATGAAACAAAACACACATGCGCGCCATACACCTTAGCAGAAGCTGCTGTCTTTTGGATAAAACATGTTGAAATTTTGTTTCAACTCTAGAATGTACACCTTTAAACAGATTTTGAGGAGAATATTGTCACCTTTTTGGCATTTTCAGGTTTGTTTACGTAAATTCAATGCCAGAGAAATTTCGCTTTAACACTGTGCCTGATATAGTTTCAGAAAAGGTTCCACTCAATAATCTCAATATGTCGTGCATGTAATATGTGTATGCAGTACGTTTGGTCATGTGCACTGCAACACACACTCACTTCTGGCTTGAAATTTTACCAGTGATTCTCGTTTTTTAAATGTCACGTTTAATAGCTAATCACTCATTTAGGTTTTCCTGGCTTATCCTCCATTTCAGTCGAGGTACCCCATCAGTTTACATCGTGCTCAATACATTTTTAAGGGATCAAAGTCTGTGTTTGCAGAGCCTAATAGATTGCAGAATAATGAGTGCGCACCTGTTTAGCATCACGTACAAATGTAGTAAAGGGGGTGGTAACTATTGATAAGCATAAATGTATGGACCCTCCAGCCCCAAGGTCCCATTAACATAGATTGTGGCAGTGCCACAGCTGTAAGAATTTGGTTTAAGATTCAACTTAAAGATATTAAAAAAAATATTTTATTTTTATATTATAATACATATTATATTGCATTAAAATAAAATTCTAAACATAGGTTGTGGCAGTACCACGGCATGTACAGGTATGTTGTGTAAATATGATAAGACAGATTAACTGGTTCTTTAATACTTCCTGTTATTTATTTATTATTATTATTATTATTATTATTTTACTTGGGGACAAACCTTGTCAAATACCAGCNTTTTTTTTTTTTTTTGTTGTTGTTGTTGCTGAAATTTTAAAAAGTTTTGTTGCTTAACTGTTTCCTCCAACGAACCATCCTAACGTTTATAAATTTCGGAAGAAAAAAATTGTATAAAACGATATGATTATAAAGTTCTTCGACCTTTTCACGGAGTATTGAATACACAGAAATGGAAATTAGTTGATATAAAGGGAATGCATGCATCCCGAAATCCAACACCACGTGATACCCCCCCCCCCCCCTCAGAGCTGCACGTAGTATAAAATACAATAGAAAGGGCATCCACAACATTGTTGTACATTCAGTGCCTCCAATAATACATTACATGAATTCACATATTTCTTAGGGGTTTCACAAGCAATTGTTTATTTTACATTCATGTGTTACAAAGCTAATAAAGGGTAAATAAATACGCTGAATTTATAAATATGCGTTAATATTGGACTGAATTTTCCTATTCGCATACCAAAGTACCATACATGTAGCCACAATATTGGAATGAATAACTCTTAGACCCCATTCCCAGAGATTAGATCGATCCAACTAGATCCCTGGGGGTTCACGCTAAATAGCTGTCAGCCAAGCGGGCACATAGTTAATTACCCCCTTACAGCTTGTAGTAGGCGGGACGGACATTTAAGCCGGATTATCTGACAGTAATCTAGTGAGACTCCCACGGGGATAGATCGATCTAAAATCTATGGGAATGCGCCCATAATTATTTTTATCTATTTTCAGGTAACCAAAGAAATAAAGACACGTGATGGCGATGAACAAATGGACGACCGTAGTTCTTATCATTGCAGCGTTTTGCTTTTCAGCGCTTATTTTTCATCACGTTTGGGAAGTTAAACCGAATCTTTTCTCTAAACACTCGAGTAATTCTAAAAAGGAACTTAAACAAAAGTGCTCTATAACCACAGCGTTCATCAAACGTCTTGGCACCGTCTTGACTCCCTCAGTGAAGACCTTTTAGAACAATTAAGAGGGAAATGGATTCTCCCTCCTTCCAAGCTGTCCTATAATCTTTCCAAACCAAAGGCAACATACTGGGACCAAATTGGACAATCAAAATTGGTAGACAAAATTCTGAAGCAACGCCGCAAAGGATTTTTTGTGGAATCAGGAGCATATGATGGAGAGGCTCATTCCAATTCTCTCTTTTTTGAGATTTCACGAGACTGGGAAGGATTACTTGTGGAGCCAAACCCGTGGTCTTTTTAAGTGCTTTTGAACAAAAACAGGTAAGTCAAACAGATGTTTTGTTCTATCAAGTATACATATATACTGTTGGAAATGAATTTGGTCTTGCACTAGATCTCACGTTCTGAAGCAAAGGTCACAACATTTCCACCTCATCACAAGGCCTTCTTGGCCCCCGTAGCCAGGGGGAGTTTGGGGGTTGGGAAAAGGTTGGGTAAAATTTTATTTAGGTAAATGAAGGTTGCATGGTCCACTTTTTTCAGAAAAGAACCCCCGCTTTGAAATTGCTTGCTACGGGCCTGGACCTTATTACAAAGCCGTCTTCACGTGGTAACAATATGCGCGGAATGTTCCCAAGATATGGTAGTTTCTATCTCAGGCCATCTTGCTTGTTGTTCAACCCGTTCAGGAATGGCCTCTTTTATTCCTTGTCTGAACCATTCCTCCTCTCCGTTGAGGATCAAAGCAAATGTAAGCAATAAATTTGGACTGTTATGAATTTGGCGTGTACATGAAGCTGCTCACACCTTCATAGATGACAATGTGTATTTCTTTTTTTTTCTTTATAGGAAAACTTATGCTGCTAATACGTGCTTGGCAACGGGCCACAGTCCCGCAATGGTTGATTTTACGTTCGCTCAAGAGATAGGAGGAATGGCCGAAAAAAGCTACGCTATTTCTAAGGGCGAACAAAACGCCATTGAAGAAAAAGTCGCATACAGTGTTTTCCAATTCGTTCTCTCCTGGCCGCCATCGGTAGGAATCACGTGGACCACTTTACCTTGGACGTAGAGGGTGCCGAAATACAAATCCTTAAGTCGTTTCCATGGGAACACGTCAGCGTTGACGTGTGGACGATAGAGTACGCAGTTCACGGAGGAGGTCCTGATACTCCAAAACGTGAGAAAGCAATCAGGGAAATCTTTAAAAATACAGGACTCTACAGGGAAGGGACAATACTTGAGGCCCAAGACATACGGTTTGTTAGAAAGGACGTAACACAATGAAAAAGCAATATCATAAATATGTCACATATAAAACTGGTCTGTTTAGTGTTAACGTGATACAATATGAATGATACCGATAAATGTTTGTTATAGAGGACATACCAGAATGACAAAGCAATCAGGAATATGTATAAAATATACAACTATGTTCTTGTACAATTATTTAATTTTCACTGAACACGATACGAATAAACTGGGTCGTATATTTACGTGTCTTAAACGTAGTGTTCAACCGGATTTGAGATTTTATAAAAAAAGTACGTTTGTGGACATGTTTTTAATTAAAAACTGGGGTGCCACATTTTTTAAATTTTTATGTCACTCAGTGTCAATTCCAGCGTGTCCAATTTTCAAAATAATTTTTCAAAATCTTTATGATGCCAAGGATTTTCCCCATGTTCCTGGCATTTATGATTATTTGCGTTTTGGGGGTCCTTTCGCTGACGAACCTGCAGTTATCTACTCTAAATAATTTGAAAAACCCTAAAAAATGCACCTCCCCTTTCGAGAAAATGACCGATCTTGACGATTTTCAAACTCAATTTTGCTTTTATCAGATGGAGCTTAATTCCCTTGCAAATTTGAAGAAGCAAAGATACAATTAGGCAAGTATAATGTGAATGTCCCTATAATACAATACAAAAAATATTCAAAAACTTTCGTAAAAAAAATATGTTTATACTGGGTTTATAGTCTCTACTAGTGAGCTGATTTTTACGTAACAAAACCATTTAACAAATTTGAATGGAGATTGGCAATCACGAGGCAAACATCGCCAAATAAATGTCAGGAAAAATGAAAAAAAAAAACAATAATCCTCCTAATAAATTATTTTAACACACACACGTACAATTTATAATGTTTTATCAGATCTGTACATATGAAAGATAGATTTTTTTTAAATTCAGCATGTGTAAATACTAAAATTTTAACAAGTGCAAATGTTATAAAATTGCCGTTTATAATGTGACAGTCTCTAGGCTGTAATCTACCGGTTGGTGTTTTCAATTTGCAATGTGTGTGGCTACCCATCTGGGGCTTTTAAATGAAAACCGCATCAGGACAGGACAGTAGAAACAAAATGTGAGCCAACAGATACAATCAGAAAAATCAGCTAGTGATTCCCACTTACTGTAAAGGAATTCCAGAGAAAACCTGCATAATCTACAAGTACAAGCATTGTGTCAAAAGGCCTTTATACCCCAGTGCTCATTAAAACAACACCTAGGGGCACCAAAGAACTAGCTACACCCCTCGAGAACAACGTTGTGGGGACATATAAAACACCAAATTCCATGATTCCTTTTACATAAGTGACACAGGTAGACAGTTCAAAACCAGGGTTAATTAATACAGGAGATCAGTGACTGCAATTTATGAACATGTAATAGACACCGGTGTGACAGGAATGGAAGCCCGTTTGCTATTACTTTGAGTCAGTCGACATCCCATGGAAGATAGCAGAGACTATTAACAGCAGCCGTTACATCAGGCCTACCCAACTACCAGGCTCGGCACATAAGGATCCTGAATAAACCGGTATAGCGGACCACACTACACGTTTTCAAGGTGTGTGTCAGAACGCATTTCGGAGTATCAGCCAGAACACCGACAGGATGAACCCATGCTCGGGTGTCACCTTGATTGGATAGTAAAGGATTGTCGTAAAATCGTTATATGAATTTAAAACCGGGTGCATAAATTTGAAAGCCACCTAGATGAACCTTAGACTGCCACATTAATCTAATACAATGCAAAAAAAAAAGCCTTATCAAAAGTGGTTAAAACATTCAAACCGAATGGGGTAAAGTCCCCATATACCCTCATAGAGACAATAAAATAGAGTACTCTAAAGTAAGAGTACAGTTTAAGGTTGTTCAGCCGAGCGTGGATGAGCCCGCAGTCGTGCTACAAAATTTGTTCTGGGGTATGATACTCCGAAATGCGATCTGACACACACCTTGAAAACGGGTAGTGTGGTCCGATATACCGGTTAATTCAGGATCCTTAGGTGCCGAGTCTGGTAGTTGGGTAGGCCTGTACATGTACCAGCCACCCATGAATAGGGACGGGGAGTCGATCTACCTGATAATTATAAGAGGGGCATGGCCGCTATACCACCTAGCAGTCAGTGAGTGCCAACATCTGCTCACATCAGTCTGATGATGGCCTACGTCCAGGTTGATCGTAAGATAACGGTATGCCAACATTCCAGGTTGTGTTTAATATATTCATCTACCTTTTTGATCTAACCACCAAGCTAATGAACATTTTCCATCATGGACAATTATCTTAATCCAGATACACGTTTTCCAAAACATTTTATTGATAAGTATTGTTAAACTACATGTATTATAATTTCAATAGCAAAAAGACCCTTGATTTTTTTATGGCAATACTCTCAAACGTTTCTCTGACTACGTGTGCTGTAGTATGGAATTTTGAGAATGAAGTGGTGTTCATCCCCAATATCTTTCAACTAACATAATTTACAGTCTAAGTCTAAGTTAGTCTAAGTTTGCATATTAATTTAAAGTGTTACATATGGCCAACTCTATTATACTGCCCAAAGACATGGACACTAACATAAACAACAATGATTAAAGCGGGAAGCGATATAGGGACCATTTCCAGACCCTATCTCACTAACTGTGGATCGATCTATCTCCAAGGGGATTCTCGCTAAATTGCAATCAAATTAAGTGGCTTAGATCTCTGTCACGCCTACTGAAGCCACTTAAGCTGAAAGCAATTTAGCGAGAAACCCTGTGGAGATGGATCGATCCTGTTAGATCGATCTAGGTGTGGGAAACCAGTCAAAGCAGGATGCTAAAATTTTTATGGCGGTATGAAAGTTTTTCGGCTTCCGTTTGATAATTTTCATTTGTGATATAAAATAGTATAGATGATGTAAGAGGGACTACAACAAATAAAAAAATTAATGACTTCAGCATATAAAGTTTGTGACGATTGTATGCAAATGGGATTTTAAGGGCTGACATCAGTGATCCTCTGTCCTAGCGCAGGTTTTGCATTAAACATGCTGTTCGCCTTCAGCAAGATTGCATCATATAGAACAGTGGCTGACTAGGTGTAGGTGATACTATTGGGAACACGGCTCTACAGAAGACAAAAGGTAGGTACTACTTGACTACAATTCAATACTAATGGAATAAAATGGAATAAAACTATGGAATTTGTTTAGGCTATAAGAGCATCCGGGAAAGACTTGTGTAATGCAGTTATTATATTGAGTATAAGAGAAATTATTCTGTCTGCCTTAAATGAAGGGGCTTCTCAAAATAAAGGAGGGGTAAACTGATAATCTCACTAACCATGTGTCCTTTAAAAGAACTGTCACTTTTAATTGTTTAACCACTTTTTCTTGTTTCATCTTCATTATTATTATTATTATTATTATTATTATTATTATTATTATTATTATTATTATCTACAGTACATAACCTGTTATTCAGAGAACTCCTTAAGAATCATATGAAATGTAAATGGATTGACCAATGACTTTATTTTTATTTTGTAAAACATGATATAGTGGTAGTGTTTATCAGATTAAAACTGACATGTAATGTTTTTACTGCAGTTTAGTGTCTATAGCATCACAGAAAATCAGGTTACCTATTTTTAAATTCCCTTTAGATGTTTTCTGGTAGTAACTCTCATGGGGGAATCGTCTTAGGAGTTTTAAACGTTCACTGGCAGGTTGAATAAATTGTTAACGAAGTGTTTACAACAAATTCTGGTGTAACGGAACTGAGGGTCCATGTAAAAGAAAGACCGCCCCCCATATAGTAATAATGGCTAGGGTTAGTCTATCCTTAGTGGATCAAAATCTCAAGTGAAGTTTACATGTACTAATGAATGGGAAGCGGAGTCTTTGTCATGGGGGACTCTGCGTCACGTTACACGGCACAATACAACACAATAAGTTCTCGAGATACATGAGCAAGCTACAGTATCTGATCCAACTCCTACATTTTAAAAATCCCTGTTGGAACAGCTAACTCCTAACTATTTTGATCTAGTTGCAGGTGACGAAAGAAGAAATATAAAAGATAAATAACTTAACAAACATGATGGCAATGGATCAACGAAGGACCATAGTTCTCGTCGTTATCTTTATAGTGTTTTTTATTTCATCGCTTATTTTTCGCCATGTTAGGGAATTTAAACCGAATCTTTTCTCTAAACACTCGAGTAATTCTAAAAAGGAACTTAAACAAAAGTGCACCATAACCACGGAGTTTATCAAACGTCTGGGCACCGGGAACATAGACGCCGTCAATGAAGACCTTTTAGAACACTTAAGAGGGAAATGGATTATCCCTCCTTCCAAACTGTCCTATAATCTTTCCAATCCAAAGGCAACATACTGGGACCAAATTGGACAGTCAAAATTGGTAGATAAGATTCTGAAGCAACGTCGCAAAGGATTCTTCGTGGAATCAGGAGCATATGATGGAGAGGCTCATTCCAATTCTCTCTTCTTCGAGATTTCACGAGACTGGGAAGGATTGCTTGTTGAGCCAAACCCGTGGTCTTTTCAAGCTCTTTTGAACAAAAACAGGTAAGTCAAACAAATGATTTGTTCTATCAAGTTGTTTACATACAAATATACTGTTGGAAATGAAATTTGGTCTTGTACTAGATCTCACGTTCTGAAGCAAAGGTCACAACATTTCGACCTCATCACAAGGCCTTCTTCACGTGGTGACAGTCTGTGTGAGCAATAAATCTGTGCCAATATGAATTTGGCATGTAGCTGTTCACACCTATCTAAATTCTGTATATGGTTAATGTGTATGACTTATTTTTATTTCTTTGTAGGAAAACGCATGCTGCTAATACGTGCTTAGCAGCCGGTCGCAGTCCTGCAATGGTTGATTTCACGTTTGCTCAGGAGATAGGAGGAATACCAAATCACAGCCATGCCATTCCTAAGGGGGATCGAATCTTTATAGAAGGAAAAAGCCGCATACAATGTTTTCCCATCCAATCTCTCCTGGCTGCCATCGACCGGACTCACGTAGACTACTTTAGTTTGGATGTAGAGGGTGCCGAAATAGAAATTCTTAAATCGTTTCCATGGGAACACGTCACTGTTGACGTGTGGACCATAGAGTACTTGGTTTACGGCGGAGGTCCTGATACGCCAAAGCGTGAGAAAGCAATCAGGGAGATCTTCAAAAATACGGAATTTTACAGGGAAGGTACCATTCTAAGAGGACAAGACTTGGTTTTTGTCAGAAAGGACGTGCCACAATGAAAAAGCAGTCATGGACATGTTACAAATGGATCTGTTAAACTATTATGGTGACATTCGTTCGGGTTTTGTGGTAATAACCTGACACAAGTACACGTTTGATATGTGCGAATGTATACCTTATCATTTAATGAAAAAATAAAAGTTGCATTTTCCATATTGTCTCCTTACATGGAGTATTTTTGCACCATGTGATAGAAGGAAAAAAAGTCGCATACAATGTTTTCCTATTCACTCTCTCCTTGCTGCCATCGGCAGACTCACGTGGACTACTTTACATTGGACGTAGGGGGTGCCGAAATAGAAATTGAAATAGAAAATGAAATTTGGTCTTGTACTAGATCTGAAGCAAAGGTTACAACATTTCGACCTCACCAAAAGGCCTTCTTGGCCCCCGTAGCCAGAGGGAGCTCGGGGGTTGGGAAAAGGTTGGGTAAAAGTTTATCTAGGTAAATGAAGGTTTCGTACTAAAAGGTCCACTTTTTTCAGAAAAGAACCCCCGCTTTGGAATTGCTGGCTACGGGCCTGGACCTTATTACAAAGCCGCCACGTGGTAACAGTATGCGCGGAATGTTCCCAAGATATGGTAGCTTCTATCTCAGGCCACCTTGCTTGTTGTTGAACCCGTTCAAGAATGGCCTCTTTTATTCTTGATGACTTTATGAATTTGGCATGTACATGAAGCTGCTCACACCTTCATAGATTAGGTGTGTATTTCTATTGATTTTACGTTCGCCCATGAGATAGGAGGAATGGCCGAAAAAAGCTACGCTATTTCTAAAGGCGAACAAAACGCCATTGAAGGAAAAAGTCGCATACAATGTTTTCCCATTCGCTCTCTCTTGGCCACCATCGACCGGAATCACGTAGACTACTTTACCTTGGACGTAGAGGGTGCCGAAATAGAAATTCTCAAATCGTTTCCATGGCAACACGTCACCGTGGACGTGTGGACAATAGAGTACGCAGTTCACGGCGGAGGTCCTGATACGCCAAAACGTGAGAAAGGAATTAGGGAGATCTTCAAAAATACAGGACTCTACAGGGAAGGGACTATACTAGGCCGCCAAGATATAGTGTTTGTCAGAAAGGACGTACCACAATGAAAAGGCAATATCATAAATATGTCACATATAAAACTGTTCTGGTTAGTGTTCATGTGATACAATGTGAATGATACTGTTAAATGTTTATAAGAAAGGACATACCAGAATGACAGAGCGATCAGAAATATGTAAAAAGAAATACAACTATGTGCTTGTACATTTTTTTCAATTGTCACTGAACACGATACTAATAAACTGGGTCGTAAATGTATCTTGAATGTAGCGTTCAGCCGGATTTCTGATTCTATCAGAATATATGTTTTTGGACATGTTTTAAATTAAAAACTGGGGTGCCACATTTTTTAACTTTTTTATGTCGCCCAGTGTCAATACCATCGTATCCAGTTTTCAATTTTTTTTTTTCAAAATCTTTATGACTCCAATGTTTTTTCCCAATATTCCTGGCATTTATGATTATTTGCAGTTATCCACTCTAAATGATTTGCAAAACTCAAAAAATGCACCTTCCCTTTCGAGAAAATGGCCAATCTTGATGATTTTCAAACTCAAATTTGCTTTTATCAGATGGAGCTTAATTCCCTTGTAAATTTGAAGAAGCAAACCTACAATTAGGCAAGTATAATGTGAATGTCCCTAAAATACAATATAAAAACATTCAATAACTTTCTTTAAAAATATGTTTATGCTTGGTTTGTAGTTTCTACAAGGGAGGTGCATTTTTAGCTAACAAAGCCATTCAACAAATTTGAATGGAGATAAAAAAAATACAGTTAGGCAATTACAAGGCATCGCCAAAATAAATGCAAGGGGAAAAAAAAACAATAATCCTCCTAATAAATTATTTTAACACACACACATACAATGTATAATGTTTATCAGATCTGTACATAGGAAAGAGATAGATTTTTGAAAGATTCAGCATGCGTAAAAACTAAAATTTAACTAGTGCAACTGTTTTAAAATTGCAGTATATAATGTGACAGTCTCTAGGCTGTAATCTACCGATAGAGATTTTCAATCTGCAATGTGTGTGGCTACCCATCTGGGGCATTTAAATTACAGCCGCATCAGAACAGGACAGTAGAGACCAAATGTGAGCCAACAGATACAGTCAGAAAAAACAGCTAGTGATTCCCACTTACTGTAAAGGAATTTCAGAGAAAGTCTGCAGGATCTACAAGTACAAGCAATGTGTCAAAGGCCTTTATACCCCAGTGCACATTAAAACAATACCTAGTGGCACCAAAGGACTAGCTTCACCCCTCGAGAACAACGTTGTGGGGACATGTAAACATCAAATGCCATGATTGCAATCCCTTTTACATAAGTGAGACGGGTAGACAGTTCAAAACCAGGGTTAATGGATACAGGAGACCAGTGACTGCCATTTCTGAACATGTAATAGACACCGGTGTAACAGGAATGAAGTCGGTTTCCCATTACTTTGTACAGGTTACATAAGTCCCGTAGTCTAAACCCAATACCTCAACTAACGCTAATCTGTACTTATCATATGGGACCCCATCTCTATAGGACTACCATTCCTGTCAAATTGAATGGAATCCACCAAGATCCTTGAATCTGAGTCCTTTGATATCCCATGGAAGATAGAAGAGACTATAAACAGCAGCCGTTACATGTAACAGTCACCTATGAAAAGGGACGGGGTGTCGATCTACCTGACATTTATAAGAGGGACCTAGCCGCTATACCACCTAGCAGTCAGTGAGTGTCAACATCTTCTCACATCAGTCTGATGATGGCCTACGTCCAGGTTGGTCGTAAGATGACGTTATGTCAACATTCCAGGTTGTGGTAAATATATTCATCTACCTTTTTCATCTAACAACCAAGCTAATGAACATTTTTTCCCACATTGACAATAATCTTAATCCAGATACACGTTTTCCGAAACATTTTATTGATAAGCGTTGTTAAACTATTATAACTTCAATAGTTAAAAGACCCTTGATTTTTATGGCAATAATCTCAAACGTTTCTCTGACTACGTTTGCTGTAGTATGGAATTTTGAGAATGAAGTGTCTTCATCCCCAATATCTTTCAACTGACATAATTTACACGTTCTATATACCCCGGTAGTCTAAGTTTGTATATTAATTAAAAGTGTTACATATGACCACTTCTATTATACAGCCCAAAGACATAGACACTAACATAAACAACAATGAATAAAGCGGGAAGCCATATAGGGACCATTTCCAGACCCTATCGGACTAACTGTGGATCGATCTATCTCCAAGGGGATTCTCGCTAAATTGCAATCAAATTAAGTGGCTTAAATCTCTGTCACGCTTACTGAAGCCACTTAAGCTGAAAGCAATTTAAGGGGAAACCCGTGGAGATGGATCGATCCTCTTAGATCGATCTAGGTGTGGGAAACCAGTCAAAGCAGGATGCTAAAACTTTTATGGCGGTATGAAAGTTTTTCGGCTTGCGTTTGATAATTTTCATTTGTGATATAAAATATTGTATGCCAAGATATACATGATGCACAAGGGATTCCCACCATTAATAAATTAATGACTTCAGCATATAAAGATTGTGGCGATTGTATGCAAATGGGATTTGAAGGGCTGACATCAGTTATCCTTTTCTGTCCTAAAGCAGGTTTTGCATTAAACATGCTGTTCGCCTTCAGCAAGATAACATATAAAACAGTGGATGACTAGGTGTAGATGATACAGATGGGAGCACGACTCTACAGAAGACAAAAGGTAGGTACTACTTGACTACAATTCAATACTAATTCCCTGCTCGTCTATCATAAAACTAATGGAATTTGTTCAGAGTTGTGTAGGCTATACGAGCATCCGGAAACACTTCTGTAATGCAGTTATAATATTGAGAATAAGAGAAATTATTCTGTCTGCCTTTAATGAAGGGGCTTCTCAGAATAAAGGAGGGGTAAACTAATAATCTCACTAACCATGTATCCCTCTAAAGAACTGTCACTTTTAATTGTTTAACCACTTTTTCTTGTTTCATTATTATTATTATTATTATTATTATTATTATTATTATTATTATCTACATAACCTGTTATTCAGAGGGCTTCCAAAAATGCAAATGGATTGATCAATGACTTTATTATTATGTTTCTGGGCAAGGCTACAGTATCAGGTTCAACTCCTCCATTTTAAATATTACACCCCTACCACCTGCCCGACAGTCCTGGACTTTTTATTTGCTCTCTTGTCCACAAGTCAGACAGTATTGGAACAGCTAACTCCTAACTGTTTTGATCTAGTTTCAGGTGACCAAATAAGAAAGATATAAGAAAAATAGATAAATAAACAAACATGATGGCGACGAACAAACGGAGGACTGTAGTTCTAGTCGTTATCTTTTTAGTGCTTTGTATTTCATGGCTTATTTTTCGCCACGTTTGGGAAATTGAACCGAATCTTTTCTCTAAACACTCAAGTAATTTTAAAAAGGAACTCCAACACAAGTGCAATATAATCACAGAGTTCATCAAACGTCTAGGAACCGGGAACATAAACTCACTCAATGAACACCTTTTAGAACACTTAAGAGGGAAATGGATTCTCCCTCCTTCCAAGCTGCCATATAATCTTTCCAACCCAAAGGCAACATACTGGGATCAAATTGGACAATCAAAATTGGTAGATAAGATTCTGAAGCAACGCCGAAAAGGATTTTTCGTGGAATCAGGAGCATTTGATGGGGAGGGTCATTCCAATACTCTCTTCTTCGAGATTTCTCGAGACTGGGAAGGATTGCTTGTGGAGCCAAACCCGTGGTCGTTTCAAGTGCTTTTGAACAAAAACAGGTAAGTCAAAGCGAATGTCTCGATATATCAAGTTGATAACATACTAAGATAATGTGGGAAAAATTAATATGAATTTGAGTACTAAGTGTTGCGTTTTGAAGAGGAGGTCACAATATTCAGACCTCATTACAAGGTCACGCGTGGTGACGGTCTGTGTGAGAGATCTCCAGAATCACAGCATCAAATGTCAGCAGTACATTCCTACCATTGTGAATTTGGTTTGTACGTGTTTCTGTTCACACCTGCACATATAAATTTATGCTTTGGATAGATGAGAATATGTATGTCTTATTTTTACTTCTTTTTAGGAAAACTTATGTTGCTAATACGTGCTTGGCAACGGGCCGCAGTCCCGCAATGGTTGATTTTACGTTCGCACGGGAGATAGGAGGAATACCTAAAAAAGGCCATGCAATTCCTAAAGGGGAACAACATGTCATTGAAGGAAAAAGTCGTATACAATGTTTTCCCATCCACTCTCTCCTAGCCGCCATAGGCCGGAACCACGTAGACTACTTTAGTTTGGACGTAGAGGGTGCCGAATTAGACGTTCTCAAATCGTTTCCATGGGAACACGTCACCGTGGATGTATGGACTATAGAGTACGCAGTTCACAGCGCTGTTTACGGTCCTGATTCCACAAAACGTGGGAATGCAATCAGGGAAATATTTAAAAACACAGGGCTTTACAGGGAAGGGATTATTCTAGAACCCCTAGATATAGTATTTGTCAGAAAGGACGTGCCACAATGAAAAGTGACTAATATGATATGTTTCAAATACTAGTAGAACGGTACTGTGTAATTATCACTTAGTGCGGTATTAATGACATAATGTTTGTCAAAAAATGCCACAATGAAAAATCGACCAGGGATATATGTTCAAAATAAAACTATTTACATGTATATTGTTTAGTTTTCACTAAACACAATGTGAATGTACTGCGCCGTGTATGTACAGTGCACACGTAACTTTAATGTAGCGCTCAGTGGGGCTTATGCTTTTATCAGAAAATACAGCTAGAAACTTGGGTGCCACATTTGTGAATGTTTTGTGTCATTCAGTGTTATTTCCTCCGTATTAAATTTTCAATTTACTTTTTCAGAAGCTTCATGACTGCAATGCTTTTCTGCTATATACATGCCATCCCCCCCCCCCCCTTCCACTACTGAATCTGCAGAAATCCACTTCATAGCAGCTACAATCGATTTACGGGAACTGTTAGGTTTAGCGCAAAAACAAACTTCGTATATTTACTGTCTTACATATTTTTGGATAATGGACAAATCTTCACTGTTCACTGAATTAATTCCTGTGTATTCACACAGATGCCATATCGTACCAATGACGTCATAATCGTAATTTTGGGGGAAATGCAAAATCGGTTTGTCAAATATCTCCTTCACCGCATTTCCCACGGTGCATATGAAGTCAATTTTTGCCACAAAAACCAACCAAATGCTAGTATATAGTTTCAAATAAGATAACTATGGGAAGAACCAAAAGACAATGCTTAATATTACTCTTAAATGATATTTGAACGGATTTTTCTGCCAGCTTTCTATACTGTATATACAAGGGGCAGAAAAGTAGGTCACATAAGTAGGTTAAATTTTGACCAAAATTTAAAGAAAGGGGCGGATTGAAGCTCTTTTAAGGCTGATCCAATGATTTATTCAGTTTATCCCTTGGCATGTCGACTTTATTCGAGCTGTATAAGAAATTAGTAGAAGTGGTTTATATGTGTTACTGGGAATCCACGCTCCACCGATGCTCGGTTCATATGTACCTTTAAATTAGGGGCTCAAAACTTATGGACAAAAACATGTAAACTATAATTACGGCACGGGAATGGGGCCCTTGCACTTGTAGTCTTCCATGCTAATTTCTGGTGATAAGATCTTGTTCAGGGATTGAGTAACTCTCCATACTGATTGCTATATGCCCTTAATTGACATAGAAATGTGTTAACTTCTCGATAAACGCTTGAATGACGTGATTATATTCTTGTGCTTAGAAATGAAGGATATAAACGCCGGGGGGGAGGGTTAATCAACATGTTAGATGCACTATACAATAATTTGATACAGGAAAACCTCATCTTTGGAAGCTGGATGATCACAAGCCCTAACGGTACCCTTAAATCATAAATTTTAAAAAAAGACCGAATTTGCAGATTATCTTCAAACCAGGATATGTAAACGAAGAAAAGTAAGAAATATTTACGCAGCCAAATGCTTTATTTCAGTTGTCTAAAACAGTTTCCTCATCGGGGTCAAACTGAAATAGTCAAATTTCTCTACTGTAATCTAGAGTAATCTAGACTTGACATAATCTAAACAACATGGTCTCTTTGAAAAAGGCGCTAATATATTAATAGACGACAATACAATAAAGATGATTATTACTAGCAGTAAAAGGTAGTCTCACAAATTGGTTAAAATAATGGCACAAATACTAATAACACAGAGACTAATAAAAGAAAGACATTTTGGAATACATGGTGATTTCACAAACAGGTCGATACTGTGAATCGTCCTTGCTCCGTCAGAAATTGAAGGTGATGCAGTTATAAAGGTATGATTTAACGTAAGTAAGTATTGCACCCAAGAATTCTTCCGATATTTTGCCATGGCATCGTCCTATAACACAAAGCGAAAGCAAACCTTGAGCAAACTTTGTGAAGACAAATAAACATGTACCTGACTTGATTAGCTGCAAGAATCTAAGCAGAAACATCAATGGAACAATGGAATTAAAATGTTGATAAATTTATATACGTATATAATAATTTTGTATTTCGGTCCCATCTTTCCAGACTTTTGCTAGCTTTTTTCACAAAAGATAATGTATCAAAAGCAGTGCAAGATAATTCTAAAAAAACATATGATCTAAGGTGTGCCTTTTTTCTAGACTGGAGGAAGTAAAGAGTTGGTTTTAAAAAGGAAAATATTGCTACTGGCCCAGATCGACAAGCGCAAAAGAAAAGGCTACAACTAGTATAGAAAGATGGCTTAGTATAAAAAAATGAAAAAATCGTGAAAGGGTGGAAAAAGCCACCAAATTACCCTTTTGACATATCAAATCTAGTTAGGCCCATAACCCTCAGGAAAAAATTATCTATTTAGTAAAAATAAAATAAAAATAAATAGAAGATGACCTATTATCAATGAGATTCTACATTATGTTAAAACACTTATCTCAAATAGCTGTTATCAAATAAAGTTTGTTTCTCAGTGTTTTTCACATCCTGCTTACCCTTATAATACAGCGTGTTTCAATGGGCTTTTAAAAATCCAAGGTTGCTGCCATTTGCCATATGAGATTGGTTTCGGTAAATGCCAGAGAGGGAGGGTTTATGATGAAATAAAGTTACAAATAATCTTTTTTCTTGAGTATTTTCAAATCTGTTGTCTGCTGTCTGTTGTCCCTATGCAGAGCGTATGTTTAGGAATTTTAAGAAAATCCAAGATGGCCGCCATATGCCATAGGAATATTCCTTGTGCAATCTGAAATGCAGTCTTTTGGCAAACTATCCCCCAAATTTACTTTTACGTGAAAAAATTATGAATTGGCGACCATCTTGGAATTTTTGTCAAAGTTATCCTTAGTCTTGAGGGCTTTTTTTTTTTTTTTTTTTTTTTTTTTTTTTTTTTTTTTTGATTCAGTAAGTTAAAAGGTAACCGCATGCCAAATCTGGTGCCTTTATCCACCAAGTCACGATTCTTTCATTAAGCCACCTCACTTTAGTGAGCGTACCTAGGAACATGTTCAAAAATTAGCCTGCAATACAGGTACATACCCATAAAATAGCCTTTTCATCAACATCCGTGTACATCCAAGTGTACAGGGGGCGTCGTTCTAATTTCAGTATAGAATATCGTCCCTCCAAGCTGCTCAGTCCATCTGACTTCCACATGTTGAGGGTTGATTTCAACAGATCCCACCTGCAGTAAAACATTAATATTAACCAATGGGGCTCCAATGCGCCTGAGTTAGGTCTAGATTATATTTTTACGGGCGCCGAGCGATGAAACTGACTGTATGATTTTTTTTTAACCGTGAGGAGCTACGGGCTACGCCGAGTATGTCTACATAACATGACCTTACATCCATACGATCCCGTGCGATTTCGCAAGACCACCGCCTACCTCCGCTCAGACGCCGTACGAAAATAATAATAATAATAATAATAAGATTCTTATATGGCGCCTTACATTCTATCTCAAGGCGCCTTACAATAATGGCTACTATACTAAAATCATTAAAATGACTACAATATTTAATCATAAACTCTCATTGGAAACCATTAAAAATTTAAACTACTAAAAATCAATCTTATTAAAAAACATATATATATTAAAATAAAATCTAAGAGATATAGACAAAGGGCATTACGGATAGTATATGGCACCGTACGGGCATCGCATTGCAAATGTAATCTAGGCCTTAATACCTTATCACATATTGAACAAAAACTCTGCAATTAGATTGGTTAAAATACTTAATTTATTGTCTATGTGATACGTGTTTTTCGGCTTGTTCAGATGCCATACAGTTGTCTCGTTTTGGCACCAACTCTACATATGACAAATGACTCTGAGTGGTTACCAAAACGAAGTCACAATCATGTTTTTAACACCAGTCAAAACATTCATCTTCTTTATTTTTCGATTTGTTTCATTAAAAATGTAACATACCTCAAGGAATTTATAGGGTTACTTTTTTCGTGCTGGTGTTTGATCATTTTATACCGTCCAATCTCACCGGGAACACTGCTTAGACCAGGGCCGTTTTTGTCCCGAATTCTGCAAAAGTGGTTAGATTAAAATTGAGAAAATAGGCACAAATAATTCTAAGTGCATGGATTGCTTTTTGTTGAACTTATGCTTGAAAAGTCTAGTCGTCAAGCATGAAAATGGCATCCGTACTTGAAAATCATCGCTTAAGCGTAGGTTTTGACTAATTGCTTTTTCCAAAATTGTTACAAAGTTACCTGTATGGCATGTGTCAGGAAAAACAGATTAAGGGTTAAAAAATCGCTGGAAAGGTGCCCCGGGATAATTGTTTAAATATGAATTTTGGTGCAGAAATCCTCTTATGTGTACCTTTAACTCCATCGTGTATGATGGGTCCAATGTCTAACCAAAATATTCTAACAAAAAAGCCAATGTTTGGCTTTGGACTGGAACTACAGGGTAGAGAGCACGTACATGAATGAGCACTTACCTACATTTTGACCTTTCAATTTGTTACAATAATAACTCGATGAGTAAAATGTTTAAAATTTTTTAAAATAACAAACCATTTAAAAATCATCTTTACCTTTTCGACATATCATCATCCTCTCCTCCCCATCCAAAATAAACATTAGAAAACCCGTTCACTTTCTGCATGTGTTCTCTAGTTAACGCAGTCACGCCACCGAATATGTCTTTGTAAAGAACCCTGGAAGCGAAAGAAAACAAATGGCCGTTATCAGTCAAAAGTTTCTCAAACATTTAGAAGCAAGATTATATTTCAAGAATATTTTTCTTTTGAGTCGGTCGAACGAAAAAAAAAAAGATTTTTGCTTAATGGTGGGTGAACAAATATTTTGCAACATAATAAAAATGCAAAAGATGCCGTTTTGGTGCAAAAAAGAGAAAGTCAAATAATATCAACTGACAAACATGACCCGACAAGCAAGAAGACAGACAGGCAGACAGACAGACAAACAGACGAATACAAACATCACCTTTTACAAGGTGGACGCACATACTTGTAGTTATATTTGTCAATAAGCACTGACATATGCCTAGGTTTCTCCGCACATCTGTATATATTGAACTCATTCTCTGCTATTAAATCTACATCGTGGAAGATGAAGCAGTTGTAGTTTCCTAACTTTGATGATTCCATGAAACCAATGTTCATTAGCATGGCGCGATTGAATGGAGGGCCTTCACGCTGAGCATGCAACAGAAAAACGCCCATTAAACATAAACAAGTTTAAGAAAATCAATAAATTGTTGTGTTTATGACATAAGAAGGATCAATAAACTGAAAGTAACATTGGAAGAACGAAAGCTGGTCCATATTTTTTTAATGTGCAGTTCTTGTTCACTGCTCAGCTTATGAAAATGTTTATTATTAAATCAACAGAAAAATTCTGACCACCTAATCTTCGGACCGATGGAAAGATTTAAAAAAAGCCCTAAAACCAACTTATCTTCGGTTATTGGACACGTACCCCAATGGGGTTTTCACTTTTATGTTGTGTTAATAGATATGATGAAATACCATAGTGTCTAGTGCCCTGTCTTTCTATAAATTGTAAGCAGTTACTCAGGGTGTTCTTAATCCATCATTATCATAATAACATAAATGATAATATTATTCAAAATCTTAAATCCATTTAAAATGTTCAGTAGACATAACAATGCAATAATTTAAAAATGTAAATACATTATAAATAAGAGTACAATGAACAGCTAAGATATTTATAAAGTAAATATACAGTTTAGTACATGTTTAAGTTCACAGTTTAAAATCCAGTCATTTCAGCTACAATATTTTTAAAAGCTTTAATCTCTTTTTTAAACTTCTCCTGGGTCTTCATGATTGTAAGGTGTATGCAAGACTGTTCCATTTATCAGGATGGAAAACAACTTGTTGAGTGAGGTCGCCATAGGGTTGAAGTCCGACTTTACATGGTATCAGTGATAATTAATTCAGTGGTCTTGAATTTCGATTTGGAGTGTTATGTTTGACTTTAGTTCAGTAGGTAAGGGGGCGGAGTGATCGATAAAACACTCGTAATCGAGGCGAGAGGAAATCACTGCATGAATGACACATGTTTAATCCAAGTAACTTCGAATAGCACAGATGTATCCGATGTTGACAATGCTCGATTGGACATGGGTGATATTTGCGACTTGTCTGTCCATTGAGAATGTAGAGTCAAAGTAAACACCCAGATCTTTCACGTGGGTCTTTCACAGATTCACAACACAGGTGCCTACTACTAACTTAACCTCTGTCAAGGCTGCAGATTAATATTGTGTACTCTTTACACCATCGCGCAGCATAGCAGCGACTCGAGAGTGCCATAAATGAACCAAAGACTTATAAGTAAATAACTGGTGAAAAATCAATCTGTGGCCCTGGTAGAGGGTACTGCTAACTGAGGTTTGAGCTTCTGCACAAGTCCATTTTTGGGTGTTTGGGTGATCATATATAAGGGGTTCTCCGAATATATCTGAATGCGTTTAAAGTATTTCAGTCTAAAAGTTATTCCTGGCACTGCCAAATCGAAAAACACTAAATAAATTAAACAAAAAGTTAACATAGACAGCAAACTCATGGTAACCGCTTCGGCAATTTGTTTAGATATCTGTTAGCAGGAAAAGTGGTTAATTTTCAATGACGTTTATAACACTGAATAACAGAATGTGATTTTCTTTTTTCACCCTTTGCCATAGCTTGAAACTGTAATTAATTTTATGTTTTCAATGAACAATATATAAAAAAACGTTGATTGTGTCTATGAACGAGGTTATGTAAAACAAACAGGTGGCCATTCAAGATGAATCGCATACGATTTGTACAATATTTTGTTTTGTTGAAATTTCAATTTCCTTCCTGATTGCCAACCTCTTTGTTGCATCACAGTTGGATTAACAATGTTTTCAATTAGCAAATAGGGTTTCATTTGTAAAAATTAAGTGAGATTTACCAGCAGCAGGGGCGGATTTAGGCCGTCTTCTGGGTCTTCCAGAAGACGGTCAGACTTTCAAGTTAACATTGACGGGTATCTAATTTTTTCTGTTGGAAGACGGTCAAAATTGGACGATATATCAACAAGGATAATTTGGAAGACTGTCAGTAAATAGCTCTGGATCCGCCCCTGAGCAGACTTTATGTGGGAAATGAGGGCTGTGATAGGTACCACAATCTTACACAATCACGACATTTCTAAACCTCCTCCAATCAGGCATCTATTCACCGGGATCAAGGTTCAAAATACAGCTGATAGATAAAAAAAACCAAAGCAAAGAAACATCAACATGTGACCTCGACTGTGCACGATCAACGCTTGCCTGTCAGTCAAAGAATGTTTGTAAAATCTGTTATTAAAGAAACATACAAAGTCAATTTTTTGTCATAAAAACCAACCAAATGCCAGTATATAGTTTCAAGTAGTATAACTAAGAGAATTACCAAAAGACATTGTTTAATTTTACCGGAAAGTGATGTTTGAACAGAATTTTTCTGCTAGCATTCTATGCTGTATGTCAATGGGGCAGAAAAGTAGGTCACGAAAGTAGGTTAAATTGACAACCAAAAATTTAAAGAAAGGAGCACTCTAAAGCTCTTTTATGCCTGATCGGGTGATTTATTCAGTTTATCTCTTGGCATGTCGAATTTATAAGAGTCGTATAAGAAACTAGTAGAAGTGGTTTACATGTGTTACTGGGAATCCACGCTCCACCGATGCTCAGTTCGTATGTACCTTAAACTTTCAATATCTTAAGCTAAGGATACTGTAAGCGTTCGCCAAAAACTTCTTATTTACTGATTCACATACTGCCTTCTTTTGGATAACTGTTAAATCTTTAGTGTTCGGTGACTAAATTAATTAACATTAACACTCATGTTATATTACGGGTGACATCGTTATTGTGATTTTTGGGTAAAAATTGGATAATCGATTTCTCAAATTTCTTTTTAAACGCCAATTTAATGACATCATTTACTAGTCCAAAACCCTGCCAGCGATAAAGCAAAGTAGTGCCCTTGTTTTATGAAAATCTATAATTATGGGCTCAAAACTCCATAACAAAAATATTTAACCCAAAATATGACGGCACGGGATTGTACTCGCGATAAAATCTTATTCAGGGCTGAAGTTATGCCCATACCGACTGCTATCTCACCTCAAATTAGGAAGGTGTTAAATTGTGTTTGGGGTGGTCGGCTCATGCCTTGGTTAAACTACCTCTTATCAAAATAACACGATCCAAGGCTGGGCCCCTGGGGACGTGTGTTTTGACAGCGCCCCTAGTTAAAAGCTTTGAGATTGTTTGCGGGACGCTCGAGATTAAAAAAGAATGCTGTGATTTCTATACTGTAGATATGTTTCTTTTACGTCTGTTTGACAGAGTGATTAGATGTATCATTTTTTTTTTTTTTGATCTGATAAAATAACTGTTCATAGCCGTTGTATGGTGTACTACTTTTACCTTGCTTGTTGTGAGGCGTCTCACCTCAGCGTGGTGTGGAAAGATTCGTCTCACCTCTGTGTGATTTTTACCAAAAAAGAGAATGGTTTTACGGGTGACGTACAGCCTGGTGGTGGGGGGGGGGGGGGGGG